ATAGACTTCACTGTTTAGTGAGACACCAGCACTGTTTGGCAGAGAAGGCAAAGGGTCTTATAAAACTACAACTCCTGTGACTCCATAGCATCAAGCCATGCTAGTTAAACTGGTGTCAAACTGCATTAATTGTACAGTATAGATACACCTTCAGTTGACTTGAAACCATTCTATGTAATCACGTTTACAGAATACAGCATTTTGTTTCCTGAAAGCAGATCTCTTGTTTCAGAGTCAGTTTCCTGAAGATAAAACATTCTAAGTCTCATTTGCCAGTGACACCTTTTGCATCCTGCCAGTAATGATAATGAACAATTCTGCATGAAATTTTTAATGGAAAAGATAGCTTTATATTATTCTATAGGTCCAATATTTCTTCATACTTTGGAACATGAGACCCTGAGACTAGTTAACATAAAAAGCAAACATAAAGTAAAGTGTATTGCTTGAGATTGCAAAGTGTGAGTTGTATGAACACATACCAAAAATCATAGTGCCTGGAATTCTGACAGATCAAAGATGAGACAAGATTAGATTTTTTCCCCCCTTATATCTGGTTTTCATATGTCAGGAATATTGGGATCATTGCATCACTACCTGCAGTGTTCAGAGGAGAGTCTCAATGCGAGCTTGATATCTTAGTCCCTGTGCATGAGAACTAGGCCCTAGTCTTTCTTCCTTAGGGCCTTTCTACACTGATACTGATTACATTTACCACAGAACCTGGCCTCAAACTGCTTTGCAGGATTATTTTTCCCTTCGGAGATGCTTATCAGTGCACCAGAAGCATATGACGTGATCAAAAGTGAGAGTGACAGTTAGCAGCAGATGTAATTAATTCCCCCTCCCAGGGAGTTGATCAGCCCTTTGCTGCCCAGCCATGCCCTTGGGGCATTTTTTTGGCAGCCCTTTCACCTCTGGAATTCTTTATTGCGCTTCAGCAGCGATGGGTCTCTCTACAATGCACCCCACATTTTGCAGGACTGATTTTGCCTTGGGTCTGGACTACAGTGTCATCTGCTGCAGTACATATTTTGGCTGGACTTAGACTTTCCTGAGAATTTTTAATGCATTGTATACCCTTAGATGTGCCCTGTAGTGCACATTGGCGGTGTGCATTTTGTGGCCGCCATAGTCTCAAAGCTAATGTTAATGTAGACGGGGCCTTAGTGTTTTGGAAGTCTTTCTCCTCTGCCCTAATCACTATCTGCAATCTTTAAAACTCTGTGGGTAAGTGGTCTAAACTATATTATTCACAGTTTGTGCTTGTCATGTGCCTTCAAGTTGTTTTCATAGAATCATAGAATCAAAAAGTTGGAAGAGACCTCATGGGCCATCCAGTCCAACCCCCTGCCAAGAAGCAGGAATATTGCATTCAAATCACCCCTGACAGATGGCCATCCAGCCTCTGCTTAAAAGCTTCCAAAGAAGGACCCTCCACCACACTCTGGGGCAGAGAGTTCCACTGCTGAACGGCTCTCACAGTCAGGAAGTTCTTCCTCATGTTCAGATGGAATCTCCTCTCTTGTAGTTTGAAGCCATTGTTCCGCGTCCTAGTCTCCAAGGAAGCAGAAAACAAGCTTGCTCCCTCCTCCCTGTGGCTTCCTCTCACATAATTTATACATGGCTATCATATCTCCTCTCAGCCTTCTCTTCTTCAGGCTAAACATGCCCAGCTCCTTAAGCCGCTCCTCATAGGGCTTGTTCTCCAGACCCTTGATCATTTTAGTCGCCCTCCTCTGGACACATTCCAGCTTGTCAATATCTCTCTTGAATTGTGGTGCCCAGAATTGGACACAATATTCCAGATGTGGTCCAACCAAAGCAGAATAGAGGGGTAGCATTACTTCCTTAGATCTAGACACTATGCTCCTATTGAGCCAATGGGATTTTGGCCTGCATCAATAGGAGCATAGTTTCTAGATCTAGGGAAGTAATGCTACCCCTCTATTCTGCTTTGGTTAGACGACACCTGGAATATTGTGTCCAATTCTGGGCACCACAATTCAAGAGAGATATTGACAAGCTGGAATGTGTCCAGAGGAGGGCGACTAAAATGATCAAGGGTCTGGAGAACAAGCCCTATGAGGAGCGCTTAAGGAGCTGGGCATGTTTAGCCTGAAGAAGAGAAGGCTGAGAGGAGATATGATAGCCATGTATAAATATGTGAGAGGAAGCCACAGGGAGGAGGGAGCAAGCTTGTTTTCTGCTTCCTTGGAGACTTCTGACAATCCTCCTGTGGGGTTTTCTTAATAAAATTTGTTCAGAATAGTTTGCCATTGTTTTCCTCTGAGGTTGAAAGAGTGTGATTTGCCTAAGGGTACCCAGTGGGTTCCTATATTTGAGCAGGGATCTGAGCCTTGGTCTCCAGAATTCTAGTCCAACATGCAAACCACACTGGCTGGCTGTATAAATGATCTTTATAAATGCCTTATTTACTTTCTGAACTGTATTTCTACTTTACCTTAGCTATTTACCATAACCTTTTGTTAATATTATAGCCTCTTGAACCATGGTATAATCCCATCACATTTTGCAATCAGATAAACTATCTAGGTTGACATGTTCTGAACTTTGTGTATAGTATATAACATTGAGAGAATCCATGCACACAAGAATTTCAGCCAACAGAATGTCCCAAAACCTTTGCGGAATTTTTGTCTAAAGATTTAAAAGCATGATACTGTTCTTTTATTAGCATTATGGCTTTAGTATATGCATTTCATGAACATCACAAGTGGGATATTCACGAAATAATAGATCTTAAAATAATATTCTACAACATTTTATAGAATCTAAGTCAATTATTTTATTTTATTTTATACTACTGCCATTTGTCAATGGCATTTTCTGAATTGGGACTTCGCACATGTCATATAGCGTTCACGGTTCAGGACATGATTTATAACAGAACGACATTAAATTCAAGTCTGTTTCTGTAGACATCTTGTCCAAAAGGCAGAAAGTGTTTTCTGATCCATCCATTATGCAGGATGAGCTTGGTGTGATTTCCATGTGTTCAGGCAGACCAAGCCTAAATGTTGCTTTTTTACAGTTGCTTATTTGTTGTTCATTCGTTCAGTCGCTTCCGACTCTTCGTGACCTCATGGACCAGCCCACGCCATAATCCAGGCTATGATCATTGACAGCCATGGCCATCCAAATGTTTAGCCAGAAACATGGTGAGATAAATGTTCTCTGCTCCACAAGCAAGACGCAATGCATCAGACACAGAAGAAAATATTGTGATTGTGATAAAAACTCCTAAGCACTTTGTACATGAAACAAATTTAGATGTAGCATCATCTTACAGATAGACTGTTTGGTTCTGTTATGTTGTAGGCTGTTTTAGCAGCTTTGCTACATTTCAAACATAGCTTGCCATTTAAAGACTAGAGAGGAAATGAAGGACTCCATGGAGGACACATCATTAGTTACATAAGGCCCTGGATTGTGGCCACATGACCAGTGCATCCATTATGAATTCAGAAGAGTTTGCCATTGTTTTCCTGCTTATTTTACATCCGTCGCTGTGCCTCTTCCTTTTTATTCATCAGGTTTTGTCAATAAACATGCAGGTGCCATGAGCATGGTGTGTGATGTATGCTGACATTACAGTTTTGTGTGTACAATTGCTGTGATATCCAAACCCTTTCTCCTTTAAAAGCAATGCTTTGCAGTTTCTGCCAAGATTATATTATTAGTTGGAAAATTCTCAACCACCAACTAGCTGTGTTATCTTAGAGAGACATAGGTATGGTCTAATGCTTAGGACTGTGGCCCTCTGGGTGTTGTGGAGTTGCAACTCCCATCAATCCTATCCAATGTACATCATAGAAGGACTACAGTCCAGCATGACCTAATGTGCTACAAATTGCCCTGGTGGGAAAACACAAGATTCAGAAGTGTTGTTTGAAGGCAGCAGGTCAGGATTCATCAAGCACCTTGATGGAAGATTACCAGGAAGCATTGGTGTCCATGAAAGAAAAACAAGATATAATACATACATATCAAGACCTTCCATATGCTACAACATGTTGAGATGTTGTTGTTGTTGTTCATTCGTTCAGTCGTCTCCGACTCTTCGTGACCTCATGGACCAGCCCACGCCAGAGCTCCCTGTCGGTCGTTACCACCCCCAGCTCCCTGCTCCCTCAGGGAGCTCCCTCCGTTGAGATATATAGGTCAAAATAAACCAGTTATGCTACCTAAGATTTTACACTTTGGGATATTTTTGAAAATTGCTTTCTTCTATAAACTGAAATAAAGCATCCAATTTTGCATTTGTTGGGAATAATCTCTCTTTAATTTATGATCTTGAGAATAAGAAATTTACATACCTTTAAATTTCTTGAACATAAATTTCTCTTAAATCTAGGTATGTGTATGTAATTATAAATTTAGTCCTACGGCTATGATTCATACCTGTTGTTTTTTTTACAGTAGTGATGTGGAATTCTAAAGAATCAGAAACTGTTAAAGTAACTTATTTCTCATTGGAAGAGGCGAGACCTTTCCACTAATCTAAGACTGCTTCCTAAAACTAAGTTATAGTGGAATCTAATATTCCTGGACAGAAAATAACAGAATACCATCTTTCTATAGCAGTGTTTCCTAACACTGCTATAGAAATATCCCAGAATTCTTGGATATTGGCAACAGTGACAGGACCTTCTGGGAGTTGAAGTCCAGAACATCAGGAGGACTCAAGTTTGGGAAACACTGTTCTATAGCATAAATGCATGCAAAATGGTCACTGAGAGAATAAAATGACAGATTACCTTTATCTTACATTAGATATTATAGTCAAATACACATATTTAGTACTAGGAGATCTCATAGTACAAAAAGACTGTTGTTCAGTTTTATTGTTGTAACTCAAAACATAACCAATTCCTCTCCCTTGCTTCCTGCTGCCTTTCCCACTTTCAGAACTAGTCCATCCATTCATGATGAATGTTCTTTTCCTGCTGTAACTTGTTTCTTTAAACTTCTTGTAGGGAGATCCAGGTAAAGATGGTGCTGCAGGCCCACCAGGTCCTCCTGGACAGCCGGGTACAAGAGGGCCCCCTGGAGACACAGGCAAAGATGGCCCAAAGGGTCCCCCAGGCCTCCCTGTAAGGCATAGTGAACAGCAGAGAGAGTTGTCTGGAAACTAAGTGCATGCTTTGGAAGGAGAAGTGATAACCTCTCCATGATGCATGCATCACTGAGTTACCCTTTATTGTATGAAGGAGCTAATGGAAGGAAAGTTAAAAGTGAGGGGGAAACTGGGCTGTTGTAGGGTTTTTTGGGCTATATGGCCATGTTCTAGAAGCATTCTCTCCTGATGTTTCACTTGCATCTATGGCAAGCATCCTCAGAGGTTTTGAGGGGAAAACTCATTCAGAAGTCCCTTGAAAGCAGAAGTATAATTCACCAGCAAACTATTGGTAACTTAAAATATTAATTTAACAAAACTTTATGACAGCCTGCTTTAAAATAGTATCTTGTGCTCTGTGATGATCTTGCTCTACAACTTTGTACACTGTCTATCACTTGTATTTTTTAGCCATAAAGCAGGCTTTAGGTTTCATGAAGATTTACGTTCTCAAGTTTTTATTGGGCTCTGTTGATGAATTAGAAGAATAGCAGATAGTACAGGAATTAATTATCACTGGTGGGGGTGGGGAGTTCCAGTTTTAGTGTTCAGTCTAAGTCCAGTTGTCCTAGATATATGAATACACTCTGTCTTTATGTGTGTCTTGTTGATGGACAGCACTAGTCAAAATTGCTCTCCAGAGCAATGGAATAGGCTAGTCTTGTTAAAAAATCAAACAAACATTTGTTTGTTTCTTTTATTAATGCCTTAGGCTTCCTTTACTGCTGTACTTTTAAGGAAGCTTTTAAAAAAGTGAATTTAGGAAGATATTCATTGGAGAATTTTGCTTGATCCATTTGCATTTAACTTTATTTAGGGAGAGAAGGGAGAGACTGGAGAAGCTGGCATCATGGTTAGTATACAATCTATAACCGCCCAGATTAATTGATTTTGACGGATTAAGTAGGGGATGCTTACCTAATCTAGCGAAGATGTGAGGGCCTTTTCTTCATTTCTCTGTCCAGCTTGCCTGCAGTAACTTTAAGCAATGGCTTTCTTTGACTCTAGCTTTGATTCATGATCACTAATCACTGCCCATTTTTGTATTGTGTACATCTTTTTGCTATTAGTGTGAGAATCTCATTTACAGACACATCTCACCCAGACCACAATGTATCCTTCATATCAAAGCATGTTTCCTGTTTCTCAATTCAGCTTGTCCCTTCTGTTCACTGAAAGGCAGGGAGTTTGAATCTTTCTCTTCTTGATTGAACAGCACAAGGAATTCTCAGTCAGTAGCCTTTATTTCGGTCAACAAACCATCGGCTAAGTCAAGTGAAAGTAGAATGATGAAATACAACAATTAACAATTAATAACATCACATTTGGCTTATGATTAATAAAAACAAGTATCACCATTCGCTATCGGATGAATGACTGTCTATATAATCTGATTGCCAATTAATAATAAGTCTCCCGAGTACTCTTTGTTACACTCAGCCTTTACAGGTTATTCATGAAGCACTTGCGGCTTTTTGCCGCTGCAAACAGAAATTTGGCCACCTGTTCCGTTACCCTTTTATCAAGATCAGACAGTAAATAAGTGCAGTACCAACTTAGGGATCTTCCTGGCCACTTGGTGAGTAGAGGGGATATTAACCTTAGTCTATCATCCTTGTAAATTGTGCAAATAAAAAGTACATGTATTACAGTTTCAATTTTACCCTCCCCGCATGGGCAAACTCTGTGTTTGTAACCAGTCCCTTTGTATCTACCCTCTAGTATGGCTGATTTGAGGGAATTAAATCTGGCCCAACTGAAAGCAAGACAAAATTTTGGGATGTTTAAATTTTCTAAGTATTTGGCACCTCCCAAAGAATTAAATGTTAGGCCTAAACTCAATGGAGAGCATGTGGAGCACGCCAGAGTCATTGAGTCCTGTTTGTCTATGTCACTGATTCGTTCCGCTAAGATCTGCATTATCTTTTTATGCTCAAAACCATTCAATATATTCACTGAGGCCCATCTGCCTGAGTTTCTGATTGAGCGCTTTGATTCGGTGGGATTTAAAGAGGTCTTTTTGAATCAGATAGGTATATCCCGCTTCAGGCCCTTTCAGGCCACAAGGAATTCTGTCAACTGTAAGCCTCAATATTTTCTGCCTTCTTGAAACGGTTCCCAAATTTTTACTCTATTTGGGACTCTCAACACTAATCTTTCATTTTCATCAAATTCCAGGTGGGAATCTAGTTGGAGTCATAGCTAATGCTGCAATTTTGCAATTTTGGTCATATCCCACACCAGAATTCTGCAGTATTTGACACTGCCTGTAATGGCTGTTGAAACTGGAACCTAGCACCTAGGTAGATAGAGAGTTCTGCTTATTAGAGCCCTTTATTAAGAGAGTCACGGGTGACAAAGCTAAAATCAATGAACATATAAATCCTTCTCATGTAGGAGAAGTAGGAAGACATCTCCTGCCATGGGCTGAAGTCAGTTTAGAGCAAATAAGAAACCCCATCTTATGTAGAACAACACTTTAGGGCCACTTCATAGATGTACTGATGCATGAATTATGGAGGAGAATGTTGGGGCTGTTTGCAAAGCCTCGTTGCCTCTTTATGCATTTTTTTGCCATTTTATTAAAATCAGAAGGACTTGTGTTCATCGTGTTCCATGGATTTTAGTAGGATTTTGCCATAATTACTCTTAACTGTTTTGTGAGCATCCTCTTTATTCCATATTACTCTTTTGTTTTTTTGCATGTGTGTGAGTTGACATTTTAATTATATGTTCAGTTAGAGTAGTTTTGTACTGATTTATTACAGTTCTAACTGTATCATTGAGTTTTGTTGCTTTGTGCGTTCGTTTTTAACAGTAACTCATTGATAAAATAATATTTCCAATTTCCTTCTAGTGATGTTATTAATTATTCTACCATTTCCTCTCTTCTCTTTCCTTTCTTATGTCCTCCAGTGTAATGTCTGGGTTCCCATTATGGGATATTCTGTCATGGATGTGTTGCTAATCTGATTTGGATGTGTTGCTAGTCAACAAGTTGCAAGAAGACAGCTGGTACTTCATTGTAGCTTGCAAATTTCTGTCCTGGCATGCCCCAGGGAGACTCTGATATTCACTTAGTATTTTAACACCATTTCAGTATGTGTCAAACATGAGATCACTTAATCTTCAGTAGATTGGATGGCAAAAACCAACAGTAGTACTGGTTATATGGGGCTGGCAGAGAACAGCAGATACTGCTGACAAAAACTACCATCATGCTTTATCTAAGCTCCATCATGGAAGCCAGTCATCTTAACAGGTTGGTTTCCTGGGAATCAGGTTTAGGAGCTTGTGATAGAAGGAAACTCTTCTTTCCTGTCGAATCCTCAATTTTTTTCTCCAATTCCATTGAATCAGCATTAAGTTTGTCCAATATCTGGATCCTCCTCAGTTTCTAGGTTGTACTGAGTATGGTATACCCAGAGCTTGAAAAGTTACTCTTGGGATGGGATGATCCATAACATACTAGTAAACAAGATCAGCTGCTATGTTGACTGAGATCCTTGTTATCCAAAAAGGTATCTTTCTCAAGAGTTAGTTGTACCAATACAGTTGTGCCCATTTTAACTTATTACTTAATTAGTAAAATACTTGCCCATCTACATCGACCCTTCTCCATGTTGAAGACATAAATAGTTAATCAGCATTGTTCTAAACCAAGATTAAAGTTGAATTTAAACATCTAGTGCATAAAAACAGCCATTTGTGTGTTCTGAAGTTATCCTTAGTCTGTTTATACTTGAGTACTTATACTGACTTCACTGGAATTGAGAACAGCAATCTGTAAGACTTAATCACTGTTATGGCATGTGAACACAAACTGAATCAGTTGTCAGTAAAAGACTTAGAAATTTAGTTTACAAGTATGTTGAAAGACAGATATTATGGTCCATTTAGAAAGAGTGTTTCTATTTTTGTTCATTGTAAAAATGTTTCATTATTGCTATTTTTGCATATTGTATATAATATGCTTTGCCTGTTTATTTTAAAGGGTGAGCCTGGTGTGCCAGGAGAAAAAGTAAGTTACTGGTTTTTATTTTTCTCAGAATCATCTTCCCAGCCCTCCTATTGGGCAGAATGGGGCAGATGACTTCATACAAGCTTTTCTAACAATTCCTCTTGAGACATTCCTCTGCAATGTATTCCTTTGGGGAAACTGCAAGACATGCAGCAGCCGTGTATCTTGCTTTTCAGTGGTCTGTTCTGGTCTGCTAGCCAAGTATCCTTCTTGCAGCACAGCATAGTTTCTACTTTTGAGAATGTTCCCTCACTCAGAGAGCAGGCAAAGATTCGGTCAATCTATGCCATAAAAGCAACCATTTGTGCATATATGCCACAAGGAGAGGTGGGTAAGAAATTATTATTATTATTATTATTATTATTATTATTATTATTATTATTATTTGAAACACAACAGGATGAGTTAACAGCAAACAAGATCACTCTGCTGGCTGTTTTATTGGATCACATGTCGGACACTTCCCAAGTGTCTAGGACTGTGTGATGTATCGGCAAATAATGTGCGCAGATCCCAGTAAGGTGGCCTTTTGCAGATGACAGAGCCAATTGTGTTTAATTGTGTTTTGTCAGCGCCAATTGTGTTTAAGCAGGCCAAGGTCTTTAGGCACTGCACCCAGTGTGCTGATCCCTACTGGGACTATCTTTACTGGCTTGTGCCAGAGTCTTTCCAGTTCAATCTTTAAATCCTCATATCGTGTCAGCTTTTCCAGTTGTTTCTCTTCAATCCTCCTGTCACCTGGGATTGCAACATCGGCAATCCATATTTTGTTTTTTAACACGATCGTGAGGTCAGGAGTATTGTGCTCCAAAACTCTGTCAGTCTGAATTATTATTATAATAAGTTTTTATTTGGGTTGTTGTAGGTTTTTTCGGGCTATATGGCCATGTTCTAGAGGCATTCTCTCCTGACGTTTCGCCTGCATCTATGGCAAGCATCCTCAGAGGTAGTGAGGTCTGTTGGAACTAGGAAAATGGGTTTATATATCTGTGGAAAGACCAGGGTGGGGCAAAGGACTCTTGTCTGCTGGAGCTAGGTGTGATTGTTTCAACTGACCACCTTGATTAGCATTTGATAGCCTGGAACATGGCCATATAGCCCAAAAAAAAACCCTACAACAACCCAGTGATTCCGGCCATGAAAGCCTTTGACAATTATTATTATTATTATTATTATTATTATTATTATTATTATTATTTAGGCACATTCACAGGCATGCTCTGCTCGTGTGATGTACATGCTGCATTATAGCATTTGAACAGATAGTTAACAAGTGCTAGAACAGAGTGGCCAACAAGTAGTGGTGCAGGAGACCTAACTTGAAATCTAAATTAGACCCCATCAACGCTGTTCCTAATAGAGTTTCAAACTGCATTATATGGTCAGTGTAGACTCATATAATATAATTAAGCACAGTCAAACTGCATTATGAGTCCATACTGACCATATAATGTAGTTTCAAATATTATGCCTTAATTATATAAGAAGCATATTTTTGCACATTATTTCTGGAAGACAATGAAGACAGGGGGCAGAGACACAGAAAAGAGGAAAGGTGTGTTTTTTTGGATTACAATAGCAAGTTAGATATTGTTGCAATCCAAGGCTGAGAACCACCTCTGTACTTAACAGATGCTCCAGTCCAAGGTAAAATAGCAAAGCAGTTTTTTTAAATAATATATATGAGAAGCAATTCAGCAAAATAATATTAAAAAACCGAAGTCCAAATATCAGGAATAATCCACAGAAATAAAAGTATAGGAGTAGCATCAAAAAAACCAGGAATACAAAAGCAGAATAAATCCAAAAAATGAAATTCAGGAACAGTTCTCAAAACCTGGAATCATGAGACATGAACAAAAGGAAACATGAAACATTGAACTAGGAATATCTTGACTTGGCCATAGATCTTTACTCAAGTACTAGCAGGCGCATCTGCTGGGCTAGCTAATATATAATCATGACTTCTTTCCTGGGAAGCTGATAAATATTTCTTGTCTAATAAGCGTCTTGATCTTCATATTCTCTCTTGGGCAGCCCTATGTTGGCAGAACGTAAATCTCCTATCTAACTCCTCATTACACTGTCCACCAGGACTTTTATTTTCATTCTCTGAGCTCAGATCTGCTCCTGACCTTGCTTCCCTAGCAAGCTGCCTTTCAGGAATGTGGCCTTCAGGCACAGACCGCTCATTTTCTGGGCTTAAAATCTCTTGCTGGCTTGCAGACCCAGAATCTCTACTAACAGGCCCAGAATCCCCAGAGAGATCAGGTGCAGGCACAATAAAAGGCTGAACTACAAAAAGATATATTTTTCTTTGTAATCATAAAGTAACTTGACGCCAAGTTACTTTAGGATTACTGTGTACTATAAATTATTGCGCACTATTATACCATAGAAACACAGCTATGGAATTTCAGAAATATATCAAGGAATGTGTAAGTTCCTTACAAAGTTATCAAAGTTTTCTTGTCAAATACACACTGTAGACAAATTTCTCTCTCAACTGCCCCCTCCCCTGCCTTTTAACAATTAAAATTATATGGGAAGTATTTTTCTATCCTGTTTTGTTTTTGTTTTTAATTTAACAGTAATTGATTTGATTAAGCATAATGTTTGACCAAGCTGAGCTATAGTTTCATCCTATGGACTTTGCGGATTTGTAGTTTAGGGATGGGACAGGGGACATAGAATTCTCAGCAAGGGAACTTCGATGCCTCACCAAATTACAAATCCCTGTATTCTATGGGTTCTGTCATGGCACCTGAAGTGGAATCATAGTGTTTTAACTGTGTAGTGGAAAGAGGCCCCTTGTAAACAGTACTAACCTTTCATATGTGTATATGCTATTTAATCAGGGTGATGCTGGAATCCCAGGAGAACCAGGGGTCCAAGGGCCGAAGGTAAGCTCTGTTCCATTATCTGAGAATTTCATTTTGTGTGTTTTTCCCATTTAGAGGTGGATGGAAGTAAAAAATTGTGAGGCAGAACCAGCTCAGTATTTTTGTTGAAGAGCACAAGAAATATTTATTTGGAACAAAAAAGCAACAAAATCCATAAGATAAGAGGGTACACAGACTCATCCTATACATACTAAGTAAACGATAGCCATATAGTGGGGTGCTATATGGTTTATGGGCTGTCATATAGTCATAGAGTAGGACCATCTACAACTATATCAGACTAATTTAATTTACATTATCACGAATCACAAATTTATTGTTATTGTTAATTATTGGCAATTTGTAAGCCGCCTTGAGTCACCTTCGGGATTGAGAAAGGTAGGATAGAAATATTGTAAATAAATAAATAAATAAATTTAAGATACTTTTGTATTACCTCCCAGCTCACAAGGATCCCAAGGCAATGAACAAATAAAAATTATTAAAGTAATATACATCAAAATACTTCTTTAAAACTGCTTAAAACAATCCCAAACCCCAAATTTGAAACAGTTAAAATAGAGCAATTTCAAGCATCGAAGGCTATGTGGAACAGATCTGTTTTGGCCGTCCATTAGAAGCTTAAAAGAGACAGGTGCAGTCTAACTTCTTGAGTAGGGAGTGCCATGGTTGAGGCACTGCTACAGAGAAAGCCCTGTTACATATACTCATCAACCTAACTTCATGAAGGAATGTGCAACAGGTTCAAATGGAAGGAAGTGGTCTTTCAGATATTAAGTTACCTGTATTGTTGAAGGTTTTTATGGCCAAAATCACTAGGTTGTTGTAGGCTTTTTGGGCTGTATGGCCATGTTCTAGAAGCATTCTCTCCTGACATTTCACCTGCATCTATGGCAGGCATCCTCAGAGGTTGTGAGGACTGTTGGAAACTAGAAAAAATGGATTTATATATCTGTGGAAAGTCCAGGGTGGGAGAAAGAACTCTTGTCTGTTGGAGCTAGTTGTGAATGTTTCAATTGGCCACCTTGATTAGCATTTGATGGCCACCACCCAACAATAAGCTACCATTTTCCAACATCAGCAGTTTGAAACAATGTAAAATCATTTTAAAATTTAACAATAAAGGTACAGTACAAATGGCCTGTTAAAAGATTCTTCATAGTCAGTTAGATAATAAATGCTTATTCAACTAAAAAGGTAGTTATCTGCAAGTAGAAAAAGAGCAAGGTGGAGGAAAGACTAGTCTGTCTTGGTAAGAATTCCACAGGCTAAAGAAGGCATTCTCCTGTCTCCTCATCAGATGTATCTGCTAATGTGTTGGGATGGAGAGACAGCATGAGCAAGCTGATATGGGGAAATACCAAGTCATGACTGAGATTCTGTGTAGCCTCAGCTACAATGTCATAACCATATTCTGCCTCCTGAGACAATTCCGTAAAACATCGTCTTAAAATCCAGGCAGCCATACCAAATAAAAGAGTTTTGTGTCAAGTAGGACACAGAAGGATGACACATCCAGACACTTCTTGCCAGTGAGCAGCAGTGGGACAAGCAAAAGCAAGGATCCCTGAAGGATTGTGTTGCAATTTCTTGTCACACTGCAGCTCATTGGAGAGAGGGGTCTGGAACATCAATCTTCAGAAGCGCTCTCATTGGCACCATAAAACTCCTCTATTCAATACAGCTGCCTGGCTTTTAAGGTAAATTTCTTATGGCAGCAATGTAAATGTAAATGGTCATAATTGTAAGCCACCTTGGATCTCACTTTGAGAAAAAGACAGGATATACATTCAATAAATTAATGTTGTAGCTGTCTACATGTTCTCTGTAACTTTGTGTTCCTTTCAATTTTGCATTCATTTCAGGGAGAACAAGGAAGTATTGGTCCCACAGGAGAGAAAGGCATGGATGGGCTGCCAGGACCAAAGGTATGGATCCTAGTGAATATCAAAATAAGACCGATGGATTTCCTATTTATAAACTGAGAGCTTCCTGTTGCTCCTCTTTCAAACACTACAGGGAAATCAAGGAAGCATTGGGCCAGTGGGGGAGAGAGGCCCAGAAGGGATACCAGGTTCAAAGGTAAGCAGTGCATGGGAGAAAGGATAGCACGATTCACCCATGTCCTGCTTAGAAACCATGAGTTTCCATTGCACCCCTCTCAAACGTTTCAGGGAGAACCAGGAAGTATTGGCCCAATGGGAGAAAAGGGTAAAGATGGGCTATCTGGGCCAAAGGTAAGTAGCACCTAGAAAATATAATAAAACTAATGGTATTCTGATTTAAGATTTTCGGTTCAGTCAATTTTAAAGATTTTTTTTAATAAGTGTACATTATAGCATTACAAAGGTGAATATTTCCACTTGGAGCTCCACAGGTTTGGAAGATCTAATTTATCTGTTTCATCTATGGTATCTACTTTAAAACATCAAGTTAAGACATTGTTCTTTTAAATCTGGATGTAATGGTTTACTTTTGTATTTTATTGTGTTTTGATTTTCATATGTTTCACACCATATCCTTGATTATCATAGCAGGTGATGGATGATATAACATGTTTTGAATACAATAATATGGTTAAGAAGTATCTACCACATTTCCTACATTTTTCTGAGGTTTTCTTTTTCTGCTGCACCTCTTTCAAACATTGCAGGGAGAACCAGGAAGTATTGGCCCAGTGGGGGAGAAAGGTATAGATGGGCTACCAGGGCCAAAGGTAAGCAGAGCATGGAAAGGTGTGATAAGGTTAGAACATGCCCTGCTTGTACACTGATAGATGTCCCTTGCAACTCTTTCAAACACTCCAGGGAGAACCAGGAAGTGTTGGTCCTATGGGAGAAAAAGGCTTAGATGGGTTACCGGGGCCAAAGGTAAGCAATGCATGAGAAAGTATCAAAAGGATAGCCTATGTCCTACTTGAAAACTAATAGTTTTCCATTATACCTCCTTAATAAACACAGGGCAAGCAAGGAAGCATTGGCCCAGTAGGGGAGAGAGGTATAGATGGGCTACCAGGGCCAAAGGTAAGCAGAGCATGGAAAGGTGTGATAATGTTAGAACATGCCCTGCTTGTACACTGATAGGGCCTAGACTGCCCTCTATGGTTCAACCCAAACTGTGCAAGTAACATCATTCAACGCAGTCTGGAATCTGTGCTGATAACTAGTGTTAATTAATTGTTGTCTTCAACATCCGGGCTACCATCATACCGTGAACTGGGTCATCTCCTCCTAAGGTCAGCCAAGAAGAACTGGGGACCCAGCCAATGGGTGCCGGCTTGCTTTCCACGGACCCAAAGTGCTGGGCTCCTATTGTTTGAACTGACTGTCCTGATTGAAGGTCGATTGTGGACTTAGTCCAGAAGGCACTAACATTGCACTTTAGAACTACAATAGCACTAAACCACTTTACATTGAGCACTTTAGATTTCTAATCTGCCAGAACTCTTGCCAGTAGAAAACCGGTCCCATATCCATATCCATGATCAAGTGCTGAGTGATTAATTGTAATTAATTTTGATTTATTTATTTATTTATTTATTTATTTACTGCATTTATTGACCGCCGCTCTCAGCCCTAGGGCGACTCGCGGCGGTGCACAACATATAAAAACAGTTTACAAAAGGGCAAAACAGGAAATCAATACAACAATAATACACTATAATCTAGTTACACTAAATAATCCGCTCCGTCACATCATAGAATCATAACCAATATCGTAATCCGTATTCCGTTCCAGTTGTCAATTGCCAGTTGCCGTAGCGCTCAGTTGAATGCCTTCTCAAATAGCCAGGTCTTCAGGCTCTTACGGAAGGACAGAAGGGAGGGCGCCTGTCTGATGTCAGCAGGGAGGTCGTTCCACAGCCGGGGGGCCACCACCGAGAAGGCCCTTTCTCTCGTCCCCGCCAGACGTGCCTGTGAAGCAGGCGGGATCGAGAGAAGGGCCTCCCCAGACGATCTCAAGGTCCTCGTGGGCTCATAGGCCAAGATGCGGTCCGAAAGGTATTTTGGGCCGGAACCGTTTAGGGCTTTGTAGGATAACACCAGCACCTTAAATTGGGCCCGGTAGCAAATCGGCAGCCAGTGGAGCTGGAACAGCAAGGGCGTTGTATGCTCCCTGCGTCCCGCTCCTGTTAGTAACATGGCTGCCGCGTGCTGGACTAGCTGAAGCTTCCGGGCCGTCTTCAAGGGCAGCCCCACGTAGAGAGCGTTGCAGTAGTCAAGGCGGGATGTGACCAGAGCGTGTACCACCGTGGCCAAGTCAGACTTCCCAAGGTACGGGCGCAGCTGGCGCACGAGCCTAAGCTGTGCAAATGCTCCCCTGGTCACCGCTGAAACCTGGGGATCCAGGCTCAACGATGAATCCAGGGTCACACCCAAGCTGCGAACCTGCGCCTTCAAGGGGAGTGCGACCCCGTCCAGCACAGGCTGTAACCCTATACCCTGTTCGGCCTTGCGACTGACCAGGAGTACCTCTGTCTTGTCTGGATTCAATTTCAGTTTGTTCGCCCTCATCCAGACCATTACAGCGGCCAGGCACCGGTTCAGGACCTCGACAGCCTCCTTAGTAGCAGGTGGGAAGGAGTGACAGAGTTGGACATCATCTGCGTACAGATGACACCGCACCCCGAAACTCCGGATGATCTCACCCAGCGGCTTCATGTAGATATTAAACAGCATGGGGGACAGTATAGAGCCCTGTGGAACCCCACAGGTCAAAGGCTGTGGTGTTGAACAGGTGTCCCCCAATAACACCTTCTGGGTGCGGCCCTCCAGAAATGACTGGAGCCACTGCAGAGCAGTGCCCCCAAGACCCATTTCCGCAAGGCGCCCCAGAAGGATACCGTGGTCGACGGTATCGAAGGCCGCTGAGAGGTCCAGGAGCACCAACAGGGACATACTCCCCCTGTCTAGCTCCCGGCGCAGATCATCCACTAAGGCGACCAAGACCGTCTCAGTTCCATGTCCCGGTCTGAAACCAGACTGTGCCGAATCCAGATAATCCATGTCTCTCAAGAATACCTGGAGTTGTGAGGCCACCACGCTTTCCATGACTTTGCCCAAAAAGGGGAGATTGGAAACAGGCCGAAAGTTGTCAAATTTAGTGGGGTCCAGTGATGGTTTCTTCAACAGCGGTTTTATAATAGCTTGTTTTAAGCTCGCTGGAATTTTGCCTTCCCGAAGGGAGGCATTAACCACCACCGTTACCCACTCAGCCAATCCCCCTCTGGCCTCCTTCAGAAGCCAGGATGGGCAGGGGTCTAGGATGGACGTGGTGGGCCTCATTCCTCCAAGTATCTTGTCCACATCCTCGGGTTTCACCAATTGAAATGAATCCATCAAAATAGGACAAGCAGGTGCTCGTGTCACATCCACAGAGACTGCATTTAACGTGGTGTCCAGCCCAGAACGGATCAAAGCGACCTTGTCTGCAAAGAACCGAGCAAATGCTTCGCAGCGCGTGGCCGAATTGTCAGGGCTCCCGCCAGGAGTGGCGGGAGTTAAAAGACCTCTGACAATCCGGAACAACTCCGCCGGACGGTTCCTTGCAGACGCAATAGTGGCCGCAAAGAAAGTTTTCTTTGCGGCTTTTATTGCCGCGGCATATGCCCTTAAGAAGGACACAAACCGTGCTCGATTTGGCTCGCTTGGGTCCGAACGCCACACGCTCTCTAGTTCCCTCTTCCTTCGCTTCATCACTGCCAACTCCTCGGTAAACCAAGGAGCTGGTTTAGCTCGGCTACTTGAGAGGGGACGTTCCGGAGCGATCACGTCAATTGCCCTGGCCATCTCCCCATTCCAGAGAGCGACCAAGGCCTCGACATGGTCACCTGCCGCGGAGGCGGGAAAATCCCCAAGAGCCGTCAGGAATCCATTCGGATCCATAAGCCTCCTGGGGCGGACCATCTTAATGGGTCCTCCACCTTTGCGGAGGTTAGGGGGTGCAGTGAGCCTAAATCTGATCAGGATTAACTGTGTTGCACTTTAAACAACGGCTCAGAGTTTTGCACAGTCACTTTGGATCTAGCCACAGGCACCTTGGAAGTAATCGCATATATTGTTGTTTATCAATTACCCTACCCCTATGTTACCATTAACACCTATCCTGCTGCTATTGATACTAATGCACTTTACCACCTTTAATACACTGGAAGGAACAGGTAATTTCAAGGGGTGGGAAGATCAAGACCCAATTACATGTGACTACACTTATCATCAAGCACTAATATATGGAACAACAAGAGATGGAAATGGAGGACATGCCCCCTGGGGTGGGGGAGGATCCATGGGTGGGGGCGCCGCCATAGAGGTGGTGACAGGTAGAGGGAGATACGGGAAAGGGAGAGCAAATTATTCATTCCGGCCCAAAATTCATAATAATAGATTGGCTACCCCCAAAGATGCTAACAATTCAAGGAAAAATCAAATTCGGCCAAAAATTTATAACAGAACATTGGCAATTCCAAAAATTGAATCTACAATTCGGCCCGAAATTAGCAAAAACAGATTGGCAGCTTCAAAACATCCTCCTGACAAGATACAACTGAGATGCCAGGAAGGTGGTCCCTCCAGGTTAAAGGTGGTGCTGTTCAATGCCAGGTCGGTAAATGGAAAAACTGCTATTATTAAAGATCTAATTCAAGAAGAACATGCTGACCTGGCTTGTATAACAGAGACCTGGTTGGACGAAGGGGGAGGGGTTAACCTCTCCCAACTCTGTCCACCAGGCTACTCTGTTCAGCACCAACCAAGGCTTGGAGGGCGGGGAGGAGGAGTCGCAGTGGTCTATAAGGAGTTTATCCCTCTGATCAGGCGTCCCATCCCACAAACATCATCGTTTGAATGTGCCGGCTTTAGGATAGGTGACCGGGACAGGATAGGGATTCTGTTAGTGTACCGACCACCCCGCTGCACTACAATCTCCCTACCTGAGCTAGCGGGAGTGGTCTCGGACATGGCTTTGAGCTCCCAACGGCTTTTGGTCTTGGGAGATTTCAATGTCCATGCCGAGGCCTCTCTCTCGGGTGCGGCTCAGGACTTCATGGCTGCCATGGCAACCATGGGCCTGTCCCAACTAATATCTGGTCCCACCCACAGTGCCGGACACACTTTGGATTTGGTTTTTACGCAGGGATGGGATGAAGGTGACGGGGTGGAGGAGCTGACCATCGCTCCATTGCCATGGACCGATCACCACCTGATCAGATTTAGACTAACTGTGCCTTCGAACCTCCGCAGGGGTGGTGGACCCATTAGAATGGTCCGCCCCAGGAGACTTATGGATCCAAATGGTTTTCTGACGGCTCTTGGGGATTTCTCCACCTCCTTGGCTGGCGACTCTGTCGATGCTCTGGTCTCTCGCTGGGACAGTGAGTTGACCAGGGCAATTGACACAATCGCTCCGGAACGTCCCCTCTCGAGTAACCGAGCTAAACCAGCCTCTTGGTTTACTGAGGAGCTGGCAGCGATGAAGCGAAAGAAGAGGAGGCTAGAGTGCGTGTGGCGCCAGAACCCCACCAATCCAGCCCAAACACACCTGAATGCCTTTTTAAGGTCCTACGGTGTGGCAATAGCGGCAGCTCAAAAAACATCCATCACAGCCAATATTGCATCCGCGAAGAATCGTCCGGCTGAGCTTTTCCGAGTTGTCAGGGGCCTGTTAAACCCGCCAAAATGCGAGGCCTCGGATAACTCGGTGGCCCGCTGTGAAGCATTTGCTCGATTCTTCACGGATAAAATTGAGCGGATTCGGTCAGGCTTTGACGTCATGTTAACGGCAGTCTCTGGGGATGTAACGAGAACATCTGCTTGTCCAGTTTTGTTGGATTCGTTTCAATTGGTTCAGCTTGAGGATGTGGACAGGATCCTTGGAGAGGTGCGACCCACCACATGCATCCTAGACCCCTGCCCATCCTGGCTGATCAAGGAAGCCAGAGGGGGTTTGGCAGAGTGGGTGAAGGTGATGGTTAATGCCTCCTTACAGGAAGGAAAATTTCCAGCGAGCTTAAAACAAGCTGTTATAAAACCGCTGTTGAAGAAACCATCACTGGATCCCACTCAATTCGACAACTATCGGCCAGTTTCCAATCTTCCCTATTTGGGCAAAGTCATGGAACGTGTGGTGGCAACACAACTCCAGGGGTTTCTGGTAGACACTGATTATCTAGACCCGGCACAGTCTGGCTTTAGGCCGGGACATGGAACTGAGACAGCCTTGGTCGCCTTGGTAGATGATCTTCGCAGGGAGCTGGACAGGGGGAGTGTGTCCCTGTTAGTTCTGCTGGACCTCTCAGCGGCCTTCGATACCGTCGATCACGGTATCCTTCTGGGGCGCCTCATGGAGATGGGGCTCGGAGGCACTGCTCTGCGGTGGCTCCGATCCTTCCTTGAGGGACAGACTCAGAAGGTGTTATTGGGTGACACCTGTTCGGCTCCGCAACCGTTGTTGTGTGGAGTCCCACAGGGTTCAATTTTGTCCCCGATGTTATTTAACATCTACATGAAGCCGCTGGGGGAGATCATTCGGAGTTTCGGAATGAGATGTTATCTCTATGCAGATGATGTCCAAATCTGTCACTCCTTCTCACCTGTCACCAAGGAGGCTGTCCAGACCTTGAACCGGTGCTTGGCCGCTGTATCGGACTGGATGAGAGCTAACAAATTGAAATTGAATCCAGACAAGACAGAGGTCCTACTGGTCAGTCGTAAGGCCGAACAGGGTATAGGGTTACAGCCTGTGTTAGACGGGGTTACACTCCCCCTGAAGACGCAGGTTCGCAGCTTGGGAGTGATCCTGGACTCATCGCTGAGCCTGGAACCCCAGGTCTCGGCGGTGGCCGGGAGAGCTTTTGCACAACTAAAACTTGTGCGCCAGCTGCGCCCGTACCTTGGGAAGTCGGATCTGGCCACGGTGGTCCACGCTCTTGTTACATCCCGATTAGATTACTGCAACGCACTCTACGTGGGGTTGCCTTTGAAGACTGTTCGGAAACTCCAACTAGTCCAGCGGGAGGCAGCCAGATTGCTCACCAGAGCGTCATACAGGGAGCATACCACCCCCCTGTTGTGTCAGCTCCACTGGCTGCCGATCCAATTCCGAGCACAATTCAAAGTGCTGGTTTTGACCTACAAAACCCTATACGGTTCCGGCCCAGTGTATCTGTCTGAACAGATATCTCCCTCTACGTCCCACCTCGGAACCTAAGATCTTCTGGGGAGGCCCTGCTCTCGACCCCGCCTTTATCACAAGTGAGGTTGGCCGGGACGAGGAGCAGGGCCTTCTCGGTGGTGGCCCCCCACCTGTGGAACTCCCTCCCCGGGGAAATTAGATCGGCAACGTCCCTTCTTTCATTTAGGAAAAAATTGAAAACCTGGATATGGGACCGGGCATTTGGACACCTGGGCAGCTAAAGAAAAACCTAATGACGAGCTGGAACTTGTCAAGATGGAATGGACTTATGAAACTTCGAACGCTGAACTCAGGATTAACCTACTGCTGTGTTATTGTATTAATGTGTATTGATGATTTTAATTTTTAATTTGTAATTGTTTAATTTGTTTATATATGTATGTATATGTGATAAAGGCATCGAATTGTGCCTTCCTCTGAGTCCCCCCCCCGGGGGTGAGAAGGGCGGGGTAAAAGTGACGGAAATAAATAAATAGTTGTCCCTTGCAACTTTTTCCAATGCTCTAGGGAGAACCAGGAAATGTTGGTCCTATAGGAGAAAAGGGCTTAGATGGGTTACCAGGGCCAAAGGTAAGCAATGCATGAGGCAGTATCAAAGGAGAGCCCATGTCCTACTTAAAACCTAATAGTTTTTCATTGTACCTCTTTAAAACAACACAGGGCAAGCAAGGAAGCATTGGCCCAGTGGGTGTGAGAGGTATAGAAGGGCTTCAGGGGCCAAAGGTAAGCAATGCATGGGAAAGATATGTAAGGTCAGCACATGCCCTTAAAGATCATCTGAGACTTTTCCCTTGCTACTCTTTCAAACAATTCAGGGAGAACCAGGAAAGATTGGCCCAGCAGGAGAAAAAGGCATAGATGGGCTACCAGGGGCAAAGGTAAGCAGCATGTAGGAAAGGATTGTAAGGTTAGAACATAGCCCTGCTTCAAAACTAAGCAAGTTAATTGGTCCTTTTTCAAACACCACAGGGAAAACGAGGGAGCATGGGCCGAGTGGGACAGAGAGGGTTACCAGGGCCAAAGGTAAGCAGCACATGGGAACTAATAGTTAGTTTAGTCCATGTCCTGCTTAGAAACTGAACATATTCTCTTATAATGCTTTCAAATGCTCCAGGGAGAACCAGGAAGCATTGGCCCAGTGGGAGAACATGGCATGGATGGTCTACCAGGGCCAAGGGTAAGCAGCACATGGGCAACAATAATAAGGTTATCCCATATTCTGCTTAGAAACTGAAAATGTTCTCTTGCAACCCTTTCAAATTCTCCAGGGAGAACCAGGAAATGTTGGCCCAGTGGGAGAAAAGGGCATGGATGGGCTACCAGGGCCAAAGGTAAGCAGTGCATGGGAAGGAGCCATAAGGTAAACCTATGCTCTGCTCATCGATTGAGAGTTTTCCATTGCCTCTTTTCCAAACATTTCAGGGAGAACCAGGGGCCATTGGCCCAATGGGAGAGAAGGGCATAGATGGGCTTCCTGGGCTAAAGGTAAGCAGTGCATAGAAAAAAAAAGTATTACAATTGCACATGCCCTGCTTATAAACTGAGGGTTGCCTATTGCCTCTGTTAAAACATTTCAGGGAGAACCAGGAAGTAGTGGCACGGTGGGAGAGAAATGTATAGATGGGCAACCAGGGCCAAAGGTAAGCAAAGCATGGGAAGTTATTAAAAGGGTATAATAAGTCCTCCTTGGGATCTGATTGTTTGCCCATGCACCTATTCAAACACTCCAGGGAGAACCAGGAAGCATTGGTCCAACAGGAGAAAAAGGAATGGATGGGCTACCAGGATCAAAGGTAAGCAGCACATGGGATGGATCACAAATTTAACCCATGTCCTGCTTAATCACTGAGGGTTTGCCATTGCCTCTCTTCCAAACATTTCAGGGAGAACCAGGAAGTGTTGGCCCAATGGGAGAAAGGGGCATTGATGGGCTACCTGGGTCAAAGGTAAGCAGTTCATGAGTGTAATTATTAAATTTGCATAGACCCTGCTCAGAAACTGAGGGTTCCCCATTGTATCTCTTTAAAACATTTCAGGGAGAACCTGGAAGCATTGGCTCTAAGGGAGAAAAAGGCTTAGATGGGCTACCAGGGCCCAAGGTAAGCCACCCATGGAAAGGACCAGTAAGATTAGCATTCGCCCTGGTTAGGAATAGAGTTTTCCATTGTACTATTTCAAACATTACAGGGAGAATCAGGAAGTATTGGTGCAGTAGGAGAAAAATGCATAGATGGGCTACCAGGGTCAAAGGTAAGCAGTGCATGAAAGCAGAGTGTAAGGTTAGCATACGCTTTGCTTGGAAATGGAGCGTTTTCTTTCCGTTCTCTCAGACATTGCAAGAGAGAACTAAAGCAGCTAAACAATGCTTCGAAAGGGACAGATCAGTCAGAATAAAACTATAACCAGACCATTCCAGCTTCCACCCCACCTTACAAAGCTTCATATGTGTAGGAGAAAACACTTTTTTCCTCACATGACAGGCCCTTGCACATAATAGAACTTGCAAGGGACATTTGTAGCTGAAATTCCCTTTCTGTCAGAGACTGGCTAGTAAAAACAAAATCCTGTGCATTTTCTCTCAAATGAGTGAAATTGAATACATATGGCAATGTTTGTTACAGAAAAGCCATGTTAGGAGGGTTGGTGGAGCAGAGAACTTGTTGGGGAGCTGTGTGCTAGATTGCTTTCTTGCTATTATTCCCAGCCTTCAATCTCTGCTTCTCCACTTCATGACTCTCCAAATGTGCCTTTGCCTTTGCAAAGGGATTCAGTCAGGATTGTTGCATGGTTATTAGGAAACAGTGAAGTTCATATGAAATGCAATTTCATATTGAATTGGTGGGACAGCTTGTCCCTTTTTGTCTGTGTAAAAAGCTTGTTTTATAGTGCAAGGCAGCTTGTGTGGTTTGAGAACTGTGTGCATTAGGAATTCCACTTGTAAGGATGGTGACGGAATGAGCTTTGGCTGCAATGGGCACATGCGTGGATTTCATGGCAGCATTTTCTCTGCTAGTGCAGTATCTCGCAAGCCTAGTGATTTAGCAGCTTGGCTCGTTCCTTGTTTTGTTTGGATGCTATGACACAGCAGATAGACTCCTTCCTATCAATTACAACAACAAAAAATAAAGTTAAGTACAGGGAAGAACATTCTCATCCTTTTTTTGCTTCTAATTTTAGGGTTTACAATTTATAGCTCATTACAATATATAACAATGATATTGTGAAACTAAAAATAAGATACTGACATTCAGTACAGAATCAACAAAATATAACAATGTGCAGAACAGCCAACAGAATCTAACAGCCAATTAATGTAGAAACATGTTAATTGAATCAGAAATCTTATCTCTTGGGTTGTCATATAAGGGGGAAAATGAATGATAAAATAAAACATGCCCGAACTTCCATTTTCTGTATGTACATGTATGCTATTCAATGGGTAGTTTGATTGATAACTTCAGATGGCAACCTTTTTGATGAAGTCACCACAAGGATTAGCACAACTGGGATAAAATGGCACTCATTAGCAGGTATATACTGTGACAAGAAGATGCCCAATCACCTAAAATCAAAAATCTATTGAACTGTTGTAAAGCTTTCTGCAATATATGGAGCCAAATGTTGTCTGGCAACAAAGGAAGCAGAACACCGCTTCGGTGTTATGGAGATGAGGATGCTACAGTTTACAGCTGGCCTTGACCACATCCGCAACGGTGACATGCATCAATGCTTTGGCAGTACTCCAATTTCAGACAAACAATGAGAATCATGCCTCAGATGGTATGGTCATACTCTCTGAGGTGAAGATGAGTCCATTTGCAAGATTGCTCTTGATTTAGAAGAACCTGGCAAGAGACTGAAGCAGTGCTTGCTGGACACTGTGCACAACGATCTGAAGACTGCTGATATACACCCTGACCAGGTGCATGACCGGGTGAAATGGCACCAACAAACCAGGAAAGCGGACCCTGCCATCAAGTGGGACAGAAGAAGAAGAAGAAGAAGAAGAAGAAGAGGAGGAGGAGGAGGAGGAGGAGGAGGAGGAGGAGGAAGGGTAGTTTGATTGTGTTTTGACAATTTGTCATTTTAAAAAGCAGGTGCTACTGTTTCAATTTTTAGTATGTAAGGTCTTCTAAGAGAGCTAACGTGGTGTAATGGCCTAAACGTTGGCCTAGGACACTGAGAGACCAGAGTTCAACTCCTCTCTAAGCTATGAAAACCCACTGGGTGCCTTGGGCAAATCACATTCTCTCAGCCTCATCAGAAGTCCATGGTAAAAAAGAAGCCTGGAACAAAATCTGCCAAGAAGACCCTTTGATAGGTTCGCCTTAGGGTTGCCATATGACTTGAAGATAAACAAGAAATTACTTGAAGGCAAAAAAGATTAACAAAAATGGGGTTTTTCTTTGGCATATAAACCTTGATGTAACATTACGCAAATAAAGTTGAGATTTGAAATACTTCATTTTTTAAAACTTTATTTTTAATTAGTTTCTTCTGTGTCATCATGTACATGCTGCAAGCTTCCAAGGACAAACCATCTTTAGGAATGGAGACTAAACCTGAATTGGCTGAAGCCATTTTACTGCATGTCAGACTCAAAATAAACCTCTGACTCCTGCACCCAAAGGAGCAACCATGGCCAATGAATTGCTATAAATGAGAGAAACATTGAGGACCAAACAAGATGACCCATTAAATGAACCTGAAATGATGCCAAAACAGGGACATCTTCTTAAAGAAAAGAGCAGCTTCAGGAGAAAAAAAATATTTAGGGCAGGGAAAAGTTTGCATCTCTTTTTTATGCTGCATCTAAACGTATTGATTGTGCCTATGCATATGTGCCTTCAAGTTAGCTGTTAACCTACAGCATACGTATGTATTGTCTGAAGTTTTCTTTGACAAGGAATGTCCAGAGGTGGTTTTGCCAGTTTCTTTCTCTGAAATACAGCCTTGAGCACCTGTTATTCATTCTTTATCCAAGTACTAGCCAGGGCTGACTCTGCTAGCTTTCAAAATCAGATGGGATCTGGTACCTTTTAGATGAAGGGTGTGTAGCCTTTTGGCTTCCCTTGGCCGCACTGAAAGAAGATGATTTGTCTTGGGTAACACATGGAATACATTGACACTAATGATAGCTAATGAGCAAAAAACAAGGTTCCTGCATAATTTTCGTGATATCCACCACCACAGATAAGCAAAAAAATGTCATTGCATAATAATCCTAATTATTCACTGCCCTGTTCAGAGGGTCTTTTAAAGTTGTTGAACAGATGTTCTGGACGAACTGTTTATCGTAATATTTGTGGATGTAATACTCTGATTATTCCATTCCATTCTTTTGTCATCTACTAAGTTCATGCTCGAGAACCATGCAAACAGGTTACCCAAAACAAATCACCAAAAAAATCACATAATATTTTACACACATTTATGATTTTGTGTTGGGCCATACTCATAACTCATGGGCTGTGGATTGGACAACCACATTAGATTATCCAGTTAGCTTCCAGGTAAGCATAACCAGGGCCGTAGCCGGGAGGTGGGGAGGGGGAGGGGTTAAAAGTTCAACCCTGCCTTAAAGTAAACCAGGTTTTTTTGGGGGGGGGTAGAATTCTTAACACACACACCCCCCCCCGGCTACGGCCCTGAACGTAACCAAACTGGATGCAGGATGCTAATGTCATCTGTCATCCAAGGGGTGTAGCAATTAAAAGAAGGGGTTGAGGGGGGGGGGAGACACATCATAGTTCCTCCTGTGGCAGTACACTGACCGATTCAAGATCACAGCTGTAGTTTGACCCTGAGTGCTGCTTTATTTATTTATTTATTTATTTATATTTCATACATTTGTATCCCATCCTTCTCACCCCTGAAGGAGAACTCAGGGGTGAGACAATCGGTAACTATTAGATTCCCAAACAAAGACAATTATAAGAACAATTTACATTTAAAACAATACCTAAAATATCAAATATAAACAACCAATTAAAATCATACAAGTTCCACTGCTGGGTTGGCAGGGACTGGGGCTGGCAGCGGAGGCTTGCCCTGCTCCCCAGATTCGAATTGGCGACCTTTCAGTCAGCAAGTTCAGCAGCTCAGTGGTTTAACCCGCTGCTCCACCGGGGGTTCCTCCAAAGTAAGTACAATTAAACAGGAATAGAAATAAACAGAAACTTTTAAAAAAATCACACAAGTTCCAGTCATAATCCATTTGTCAGTCCAATAAATCATTCTCATTATTATCTTTGCATCTGCTGCTAAAATGCTTGATACCACAACACAGTTTTTTCCTAAAGGATAGGAGGGAAGGGGCCGGTGTGATATCATTAGGGAGAGATATTTACTATAAGAAGATAAGGCTTGTTTTCCATTTCCTACTTTTGCTTTAAAAAAAGGAAGACAAATGTAATGCAAATAATTCAACTGTGCCTTCTCCAACCAAACATGCTTTGCACCTAAACCAAGAAAAAAGCATTCCTTTGTTATTTTCCAAGCAATCAGCTGGAGCTGGATGAGGGAAAATTACAGTGAGTTGCAGCAAACAAGCTGAAGCAGACAAGAATAAAGGCTTGAACCATGTAAGATTCAGTAGTGTGTATGGCTGTCAGTTCATTTGTACAGATAAGAAGGAAGTACTGCTGATTCTCTTTTTATTACATATCTATCTTCATTCTATGGTGTGACGTTTTAGAACCCATCATTGGACTTTTCTTGAATTTCCACCAGGTAGAAATTTATAACGAAGAAAGAAATATGTACTGTGCTTATACAAAGTCAGCTTATCCAATATGTTGTTCTTTTTGAACTTATACCGTCTGAATTAAATTTGCATTTGGAGTATAATGGGTTATTATTCTCTTTGTCCTTGAAAGAATGGAAGGACCCTGAGCTTCAGCGTGCCCTAGACTATCTTCCTTTCAAATATGGCAACGGTCTCACTTTGTAACATCAAGATACCAGAGTGTCGTGCTATCATTTTACTCTCTGCCAGTTTAATTTCATACCTGTTTAAAAATTGCTCGGCTTTTTTGCAGCTATGTGTGTGTGTAATGCTACAAGAGGAGGATGGTCCAATGCCTGTAGGAGATTTTGGTGTCTTGTATATGAACTGGCTGGTTTATTTTGTATTATTTTACGGGTGATGCTGCTTATGTTTTGCTCCTTAAGATACATTAGATGCTATATTTACTTCTAAGTTAATATTCTAGATACAATAACAGACATTGTTTATTTTCAGGGTGAACCTGGTGAGACAGGAGCAGATGGACACATTGGGCCGAGGGTATGAATTCTCCTTCCTTTCTTTGATTGCTTAAAAATACAACTAAGCCACATAAATCATGTTTGTGTTTGTTAAGAATAAATTGGAATATACAGTGTGATAGCAATAAAACACAAATTAATAGTAGAAAATCATGTAGTTTTTCTGTCTTATATATGACATCCACTAAACTGAAAGCTACAAATAAGCAATTACTTATGGAAATCTTGAATTTTGGTGTGTGTGTGTGGATCTGAATGCTCAATATTTGCTGATTTATAGGCTGAACTTCCTCCAAACCTTGATGCATGCTGTATATCTAATCTTCCTTGTTCACGTGTCTCCAAAAATTACACTCAAGTTCAGTTTTGGAAATGAAAATATGAGTATAACTCCCCCTGTCCCCATTTGCTAGAATAGGATATAATCTGGAGACTTTGTAATCCCGTAGAAGTGGGTAAGGCCTGCCAAATTTTACACAGAGAGTTACCGGGAATTTTGCCGTACATGCCTTGGAAATTTGATTTCTTCAACTTGGAACTGCCAGTCTTAACTTCTTGGAAGACTTTGGAGAACTTGGTAGCCATGAGGTGAAAAGCTTTATAATAGAAACTAAGAGCTCAATTGTGGATTAGAAAGGGACTTACTTCTAGGTAAGTATAGATAGGATTGGATTGCCAGCCAAAAAGAAAAACATTAGATGACCAAAGAGGTTTTATGAAACATCGGAAAACTGTGAGAGAAGCTTAGAGACTTTCCTTGGAGAAGGAGTTCCATGTGAGAGGAATTCCATGGTTGTATCACCACCACTGAAAAGAACGTGTGCCTGATCCTTGCCAGTCTGGCATAAACAAATTATAAGCAAGAGAGCAAGGCTTTCAGTGGTCTTTATGGAAACTATAGTAAATTGTGTAAGTAGTATATGTTTTTTCTCCACTTGATAGAACATTTCTAAAGTATATTCATTCAACCATTGAAATGTTTAGGTAAATGTGAAAAATCAGGATATCTTGCCTGAATTCGCCTTTTCTTTTTTTCTTTTCCATTTTCCAGGGACCTCCAGGCCTAAAAGGAGAACAAGGTGATACAGTCATAATTGACTATGATGGCAGAATTTTGGAAGCTCTAAAGGTAACTTTTAATGGATCTATGCTATTTCATATCAAAATAAGTCAATTTAACAAGATTATTAGAACATGAGAAAACCTTTCTCATTCAGTCCAAAAGACTGTATCTGTTGTATCTGCAAAGGACAGTATCTGCTTTGCACAGTGGCCAACAAGATAGCTGTGGGAAACATGCAAGCCAGACTTGAGAAGAACATAGATAAGATTCATTTTGAAGAATACTTAAAGAAATCAATTGTCCAATGAAACCCCTTCAAATGCATGTGAGACAGAGGTACACAAGCATTTTAGTCCTTATGGCCACATATTGTAATAGATGGGTGGCCAAGCAGTGGTCATGCCAAGCAGCGGACAGGCCACACAGCCAGCATCCCCTTGCCCTCCATCTTATATTGAAACACATATACTAATACACACAATTTCCTACACCCAGACATATTCATAGACTAGAATGATAGACTTGGAAGGAGCCTTATGAGACATCGAGTCCAACTACCTGCTCAATATGGGATCTGTATATTTCTTTTCTGATAGGTTATTTTTCAGTTTACGAAAGAATAAGGCTGTGGCAAAACTGTTGTATATACTGGGGTGGGGATTTCAGTTTGCCCTTTCAGATTGGTAAGTTAATTTAACGTTGGAGGATTTTCACTTTTCTCTTTCAGATCAATAGATTAAATTATGCAATAATAATTTCAGAAAACATGGTTACATATTTTGAAATTCATTTTATCCCACATCACATTATTTGAATACCATAAATGTTTAATTCCAAATACATTTGAAAACCACCCTAATTGTTTTATAACAGGCTGCAGGGAAACCCAAATTGACGGTAATTGCTGTCTGCCAGATGCCTGCTTGGATTGGTTTGTTGGAATGGCCCAGCATGTGATTTTTCTGCTTCAGATTTCTGGACCATGATTGCTATAAAAGGTTCTGCCAAACATTTGGCTTCTCTTAACAAAATAATGACTGATAATCATTGAGTTTATATTGTTTGCAGTATAACTGATGTATGTCAAGACTGAGTCATGAATGTGTTATTTGCTTTGTTTTACAGTTGTGTAGAACTAAGTTCAGTTACTGATCTTACAAGTCGGTTTGCTTCTTTGAAAATTCATTGAGCATTGTTCCAAGAATATACTTAGCTCTCTTTTAGAAATCAGTGACACTGAAGGATTTTAATTTGGCATGACCTTGTCTATCATGGCAAGGTCAAGCCTTATGTTGGTGGAAGAAGCTGTCCCTAGTGCATGGATTTCTTTGCCATTAAAGCATTCTTCTCCTGTGACAGCTCCATAGTCCCAAATAGTATTTTGTTCCAGGCTTATTGCTAGGGGTTCATTTTTGTTGTGCATAATTTATTGTGAATTCATTAATTCACACAGCTATGACTTTGCTCCACCTGTAAATCACATGTTAGGAAACATACTGCTGTCCCTGCCCCAAACTGTTTGTGTGTAGGCATGGCCTTCAGTGGTGAAACGTACAACTCAACAGCTGCTTCCCCATAGGTTCTACACAACTGGATTCCCAAATGCATGAAAGCCCTCATTCAACTCACTGTTTGGACATAAGAAACTTCATTGCAAGCATGCCACACCAACAAGTAGATTGATTTTGACACAAAAATACAGCAGGCTAATCTATTCCCTCTCCTAATTGTGTCTTTCTTGTGGAAAAATCCTATACTCGGCTATAAGCCCTAATGAGTTAAATTGGACTTATTCCCAGGTAAATCCAGGTAGGCTTGCTGCACCCAGTTATAATAAAATAATACGTTTTCTTAGCTTACTAGAATGAGGAGGTGATCTTTTAGCTTTACAAAGGAGAAGAAGAGCCACATGACAAAAGTAGGTGTTTGGACCACTTTAACATTGTATATTCAGCTTGCTTTGGTCTACTTAAATGTCTTCTAAATTTTGATGTAACTGTTTCATATGTTTCATGTGAAACGGTTTTTCGTGAAACAGAGACAAAAGCAATTTATTTCATTAGTCTTATAGTGCAAAATTTAAACAAACAAGTAACTTAAAGGATGCATCGCTCTTTTAAACTGGACATGCCATGAACTGAACCAAGGATTCCTGGACCTTGCATGCAGCACCTGTCGTCTATTATAGATGTTTATGAACAGATGATTACAGATTACACTTCTTGACTGATGTCATGGTTCAGTGCTATAGAATCACAGGAGTTATAGCTTGCTCAAATATTTCTGATTGAAAATTTCTCCACCTTTTGATTCATTGTCTGATCTACATTGTTGTCAACTTGCTGCTGTCAAGCTGACTTTGCTTTCTGGCAACCCCATGAATGATCTGTGTAGCTAGTTGCTTTTAGCTGCAGTGGATCACTGTGCTCTTACTGAGACAAACATTTGCCTTTAATAAAGAATGCATATTAATTTTTAACAAACAAAGCATTTGAAGGATGAGTGAACTTAAGTCATGTTATTGAGGCAAGAGTAAATTGAAGGACATTGAATTGTTGCCAGCACTGTGAACCGCCCTGAGTCCCCTTTGGGGTTGAGAAGGACTGTATACAAATATCACAAATAATAAATAAATAAATAGAAGAAAAGATGTAGATTAATGAACTTCTTATGAGATGAGACCCAATGCTTTATGATAGGATTTCCCAGGCATGTTGAGCTTTTACCTTTCCCAGTCATCAATCTCATTACGGGATTTGTAGTCTATCTGAGAAAAGTGCCAAATTGAGAAAGGAAAATGTATAATACCAAAAAAGAGGAACTTTTGAAGGAGCTAATAACAAAATGTGCCCATAGGGGTCAATAGTGACAACCCACATGTCATTCTCTATGAATCCTATATTTTGTGTTGAAAATAAACAACTTAAGCAATGAACAGAATTAATCTATTTTAGTTATTAAGAGTAATGACAACACAGTAATCTAACCAATTCTAATGTTCAACGTCAACCAATTAATTTTCAAAGTGACATTCCAAGCTCTGGATTCTTGTACATTTGTCCAAATTGCTTATAGTACAATTATACAAGAAGGAAATATCAATCACATGGTGTTACCAATCACATGGAGTTTGAATTGTATCCAGAAGTTTGTTTCCTTCTAGTGGAAGGAATCTTATTCCATTGCATAAGAGAGCCTGGATCCAATCCTTTGTTGTGAGAGCTGAGGAAGAAAGGCATTTGATGAGGAAGAACCTTGTTTATAAAATGTATATTGTTCTTCTTCTTATTAGCACTTTCTCAGTGCTTCCCACTACCTGCAGTTGTTGCTGTCACAGCACATTCTGATTGACATTCAGCTTCTAAGATGATGCTAATTTGAGATTTAAATATCCTCCTGGAACATAATGTTGCAAATGAAAATTATAGAGACTCGCCTGCATATTTTTCAAAGGAACAATGTATTGTCACTTTCAAGTTGAATATCTATTTATAGTAACCAGTAAAAGACCTGCATTCAAAGGTCTGTGTGAGATAGACTCATACCAGGAAAGTTGGCAAATTAGTATGGGCTTACTGTCACTGATACAATATACAATAAAACAAACTTACAAGCTAGAGTTTTTGATGTTAATAGTTGCTGTAACACAAAAAGCTTTTGTCAACTGATAATATATGCAATGTAGAATTAACAAAGCCATGTTTACTTAGCAATATTATGAACACTTTTGCTCTGGAGAGATGCTCGGTATTGCTGCAAATTAGATCACTCTTATAACAGAAATTTGTGTGAGGTACCATTGTTTTTTAAAAAAATCTATACAGATTGATCTCCAAAAGGTTTTCAATAATTTAAACATTTATGCTGAAATTAGCAATTAACAGACAATCTGTTGTCCTTTTTTTACAGGGGCCACCAGGTCCTCAAGGGCCCCCGGGCCCCGAAGGACCTCCTGGACCGAAGGTTGGATTTTACTACCTTAGTTACAAAATGTATTTGTTCTGGTGTGCATGTCTCACCTTGATTCTTGTGTGGATTTTCTTTTAATGCCATGTCTTTTTAAGAAACTTTGGAGGAGAAAACTAAGTAGTGTGTGGCAAATTCAACATTACAAGTTTACCAAGGGTAGAAGAATAATATATAGTGCAATTATTGCATTATTGAATCCTTGGACCATTTATAAATGAGTTTTTCACGGAAAATTCTTCAGCGATGCAGATAGAATCCAGTTCCTTGCATGGGAGATATGGGTGTGTAAGTACCATAGTTAAAGTGCCTCTATATAAAGAGCTTGTGAATGCATAACAGACACAAGTGTGTACCTCTAGGTTGAACTTTCCTAATTGCAATAGAGGATTCAGGGCAGTCTATTCTTTAATCTATTTCCTACTTCGAAATAAACCACACCAAATTCAGTGAGATGTTCTTTTATGTAAGTTTGTTTAGAATTGCTATTTAAATAATACTTTTAGTTGAAATTGCTAGGACTCTAAGTGTATTTTAAGATACTTATGATTTCCTTCAGTATATAACACTAAGAAGAATGTACTTTTATTTTAGAGAATTTGATTTAATAAGTTGAATCTGGAATATCCTTATTTTGCTGATATATGCCTTTAAAAATTTCTACTTTAGGGTGAACTTGGGTTGCCTGGTCCGCCGGGAGTTGATGGAGAAAAGGTATGTAGGAGTATCCGTGTGATAGTATAGTATTACCTTCTTAATAGGTAGGGGCTGACTGTTAAGGCTGCAATTTTATATGCACATCTGTGAGTAAACTCCAGGGAACTCAATGGAACTTCTGAGTAACTCTGCAGCAGATTACACTGAACATCAGTTTAGGAATTATTCCAGCGGCAGCAATCCTTGAAATCTCCAAAAACAAATACTGCCAAAGTATTATGTAAGTGTATACAGGCAGTTCCCAAGTTACAAGCATCCAACTTACAAACAACTCATAGTTAAGAACGAGGGTGAGACAACAGCAAGTGAAAGAAATCTACCTCTCGGAAGAAAAATTCACTCCTGAAAAGAGTTATCATGGGGAAATTTTCTTGCTTCGTGGCAGAGGGTTGGACTGGATGGCCCATGAGGTCTCTTCCAACTCTATGATTCTATGAATGACCCAAACCAGAATGCTACAACTCTTCACTTCACAAAGCATTATACAGCAGCACTCTTTTGCCATGAGCCTGCATCCGTGTAACTATAAAAGTAACTAATTTACAGTTATGCTGCAAAATAGAAGGAAGTTGTCCATTCTGGAATTACACTCATAATCTAACATAATTACACCTTTGTTATTGGAGGAAAAACAATCAATTACGAACAGCTTACTATTGGGGAAATCATCTGCAAATAACTCAGCTAATAACAGCTACCTCCAAGCTCTGCAGAAAAGGACAGACCATCTTCTCCCGCATCACCCATACTAGGTATTGCATTGGAAACTGCTTATGCCATCATCCTGCAACTCATAATGAAACTAAGTTCTAATGAGTTTAATAAATATATCTTCAAGATAGGTGATTAAATTACTGTAGTCTGTAATGTAATTAGAAATAAATACTTTAATAATGTTGTGTGGAGGACATGTGTGTGCATGACAGAATCTTTTTAAACTGTAATGTATTTTGAAAAATGCCATGTTAATCTGATCTACTAAATTCTATTCCACTCAAAATTGTTATTTCTTATATGAATAAATTTAAAATATTCTCAGAAAGCAATACTGGGGGAAATGATTACTACAAATTAAAAGATGATGATCTTATGAAGCTTTTTTGCTTGAGTTGCAGGGTCCTAAAGGATCAAAAGGTGACCAAGGAAGCTCAGGTTCCACAGGACAAAAAGGAGAGATTGGAGAAGCTGGCATCACTGGTGCTCCAGTATGTCTGGTTGTGATGTTTTCATTAAATACTGTTTGCTACAGATACTTAATATAAATATATGCTGTTAAGTATTCACATAGTCATAAAATATGGAACATATGTGTGAGTGTGTATGGGAATGCAGCTTCTCCAGTGCCCCCTGTATCCCTTAAATTTCCAATTTCTTCCAAAGACCTTCCAATAATCTGAGAAATAAATGAATTCCTAAGTTGCCTTGGCAAACATAGAGGCAAAAGTCTTACTATCTCACTGAAGCTCTCTGAGTAGTCCATGCAGTTTGAAGTGAGCAGTGAGGTGAGAGGAAAAAGGTGACTGTCAGGGAACTGAAATACTCATTCACCAGTCTCAGTGCCCCTTTTCTTCAGTCTGGATTGACTCACTTCACTCTGGTGTCAGTCAGAGGCAGGGATTTCTGTCTGGCCTCTGTCTTTTCTTCCCCCTTTATAGGAGCTCTCCAGGTTTTGGCACGTCACAGTAGCTCAGCTAATAAATGAATGAGGTGTGCAAACAAGAACCCATTCTCTACAGCAAATATGTTCGTGTTTATCTCAACTTCCTGTGATTTCCTTTGTTAGAGAAAAGGCAGACCTGAAATAGGAATTCAACCTATCCTGGGTGGAGTTACACTTGGTTCCTAGTATGAACCTGGATTATCAGACTTAGTTGTTCACTCAGCTGAAGCCAGTGTATTATCTGCACTTGTTCCTGGTGATATGAGATCCAGCCATGGGGATGCATGACTAAGGCCCCATCTACACTGACCATTTAATGCAGTTTGAAGCTAGCTTCAAACTACAGCAGCCAAACAAACCAAAACACCCACAAAGGCATGTGAAAGAAAGTCCTTAATGTGCATCAGTCTTTTGTGGTTTGTGACATCCCCATCTGGCCTCAAATGGGTTCCAGGATTTCCTTTGCAATTATCAGCATAGCAAAACCACTTTCTTCAATACTGGTTGAAAACTACATTATACGGCCAGGGTAGATTGGTCCCTAGTTAAATTCTATTTGGGTTACTGTAATGTGTCCAACTTAGGCATGCCATGGAAATGGTCTCAGGCATATCAGCTGGTCCAAAAAATAGTCAATGACCAGAACTGATTACTGGAACCATACAGCCAGTCCCCTCTGTTTATGTTTCCATGCGCAAGTCAAAGTACTAACTATTTATATTGTCTGGATCTAGGCTGTCTGGGTGGTCATATCTTTTTGTATGAACCTACTTGGTGCTGAGATCATTGGGAAGGGCCTTCCCTTTGTCTCACCAAGCCATATCTGGAGGGACCCAAAAAAGGGCTTTACCATTGGCTGCCCCTAGAATCTGGAAATCCCTTCCTAGGAAGGCTAGACTGGTGCCCTCCATAGAGTCTTTCCAATAGGTGTCAAAGCCTTTTTTTTATTATGATAAGCTTCTGCAAATTGATTGGCTTTAAGGAAAGAGCTTTGTCAGGATGCAGTTATGTCTTTTTTAACTGTCTTTTTATTTATTTATTTTGAAATATGTTTTAAATTGTTTTAATGTTATTGTTTCTTTAATATGTATTACTACATAATATGTTTCTTTAATATGTAGTAAGATTTTAATTTGAATCTGTGTCTAATTTGTTTTACAAATTGCCTTGAATGGCAGAATGGTGTAGTACAATTAATACATGCATAGTCCATAGAATTACAGCCACAACAACATTTCAGCCCACTGTTACAAACATTTTGAAGGCTGATAAATGTTTTGTACCTGGGAGAATTATTGCACAAATATTCACAATTTTATTATAATTTTTTAGCATACTTCCACTTGCACATTTATAGCACATTGTTCACTTTTTTTTTTCAAAAAGTTTTTATGCTGTGCTTCCACAGATGAGTTCAAGTGACTTGTGGACTGTGGTTTGGGGTGTGGGTGGGGTTATATTATATGTGGAGTGTGTGTGCTTGTCCGTCCTCAGAGGATAAGATAAACATGCTGATACATTTTTTTATGTTTTATGTCTTTAATATAATTAAAAGTACATTCCCTTTTCTTTTCCTTCTTACATTTTAGGGTCCTAAAGGGTCAAAAGGAGACCAAGGCACTCCTGGATTAATGGGACAGAAGGGAGAGATAGGAGAAATGGGCTTATCTGGTCCACCAGTAAGTCTGTCTACAATTTTAATTTTTATTGTTGTATTGCTTTATTTTATGATTGGAAGTTAGTTAATCTAATGGCTCCTAAATACAAGATTGGCTCCTAGATACAGCTTACGTATTTTGGTTGGAGGAAACTACCCTGAGAGGTGATTGAATCGTCTTCCTTCAAATCATTTCTAACTTGTGGTGACCCCGAGGCAAGGTCTGCTTGGCAGAATTTGTTGGCCACCTTCTGAGGCTCAAGGTTACCCATATGTTTCCATGGTTTGACAGAAATTTGAATCTTAGATTCCTAGTGTCCTAGCCCAACAATCAAACCACTACATCATACTGACTCTCTGATTAAATCTAGGAGTTTTCTTTGTGTCAATTATAGTCAAGCAAAAAGGCACTTTATCCTACTTGTTCTCCTACATGGACTTGGGAACAAATACATTCAAAAGCAGAAAATAGAGTGGTATCAGCCTGCATTATATATGGTCAGCTATATGCAGGCTATGGCCCTCAGCCACCCATCACTGAACAAATAAACAACAAACTTATATGCAAACATAGATATTCCAAAATCTGAAAAATTCCAAAATACAAAACATTTCTAGTCCTAAGCATTTTGAGGATTGATACTCAACCTGCATATGCTACAATATGAGACAGTACTATGACAAAGGAACTTCTGTGTAGTCTGGAGTTTATATGTAAACAGGGCTTTGTATAGGAAGTGTGGGTAGTAAAAGACACATTGCATGCAGCTACTAACTGTGCTGCAAATTACCATGATCATTTTTCCTAGTGCAGCTCAACTGGAATCCCTAGACATAGAGAAATCGACTTTCTTATACCTGTAACTGGCACAACATAAGACTGCACAATTCAGTTTTGCAAGGAAAATCCTCATGAAAAAATATTGCAGGGCAAATCAGTTACATCCCTTGACATTATGTTATCCTTCTTTTTTTTAACTATTTAGGGAATTGATGGACCGAAAGGCCAACCTGGTGCACCCTGCAAGCAGGATCTTGTAAGTTGTCAATGACTGAATTTATCCTAAAATAGGATATACAGATAATGACATTACTTCCTCCATTTTCACTAAACTTTAGCAGTAATCAACCCTTCACAGTACCTCTGCTGGAAGACACGGTATTCCAAGCTCAAGAGTGTTGCAAAACTGTCTTTTCCAAAGTCCTCAATTTGACAAAAATAGTGAAGATCAGAGAGCATGGAGAAGGGGTAGTACATGATTATCTGGACTCTAGATTTTTTGTATATGCTTGCATCTCTATCTGCTTTCCATGCAGAAAATCATCACATATAAAGCAGTCCTGATTTTAATCTAAATGGCTCATCAAGAAGACAAAGCAAAAGAAAAAACACATGAGGACAGTATCAAAAGTAACCATGAAAACTAAGAGGCCAGCCTCAAACTCATATGTGATGTTAAACGTATTTATGCAAATCAACTGTCTCTTATATTTTTCAAGGATAATATTTAAAGGCACTCATATTTTAAAAAAAATGTGTTTCCTCTGTGTCCTAGTAGAGTTCTGACTAGACTTTTGATTTAATCTCCTTCTGAAAATTCATAGGTGCAGATCATACCTGAACCAGGACCTCCTGGCTTACCAGGTCAACCAGGTCCAAAGGTAAATGTTATAAGAACTCATTTTGTGCTAATTAGTTATGCTGGGTCTAGCCTTGTCCAGAAAATTGTTTGTATTTTTATGATCATCCATTGGTCATTGTGTTTGTGTAACATCAAGCAAAGATAGTTGAATAAATGAGATAAGTGAATATAGTTTACATTCTTTGTTCTGTGAGACCAAGATGATGTAACCATCCAAAATCTATAAGCAAAAACAGTTGTCAAATAGGAGCTAGAACTTCGTAACATGGGTTGCTGTGTAGCTGTGACAGTTACACTGTGAGTCAGGTAAAAAAAAATCACAGAAGTTATTGCTAATGGCCCTGGTGCCCACTGCACAAGTACACGAATAGGCACAACACTCACAGGAATGCATATCCAGAACAGTTAAGCTACAAGTATTCTCAGAAACTTGGACCCCAGTATACACAGGTTTTCTGTAAATATATTTAGGAGTGATTCCTAAATGTGTTCATCACTATAATTAGTCATTGGATCAAATCCTGTGGCTTGCAGCAGATGGCAAATTGATACCAAAGCACCTGCTTGATACTATCTGTAATGACTTCAACTTATATTTGAGTAGAGATAATTTGGAGGTCCATACGAACAGCACAATGAAAAAACTAAGATTTTCAAAAATAAAACTGAACTTGATATAAATATAGATACCAATTAATTCACCAAAGGTCTTAGTGGAAAAGTAAATATGTTAGGATATTTGGCATGGTGGACATGAAGGCAGGGTTGAGCAGTTTCAGAATCTGTACCAACTTCTATGATATCTTATAATATACGAGGGGTATTTTTTAAGTAAGGTCCGTTGGAACATAAGTACACAACGAAAATTTATTTCAAAAAAGTAAATTTGTTTTCAGAAAGTACATAATTCACTCTATTTTTCAACATAGTTGCCAAGTTTGTTCAAACACTTATCATACCTCTGAACCAATTTTAAAATACCCTCTTCATAAAAACTTGCCGCCTCCTCTGATAACCAAATCGTCTGTAATCAAAGAAAGGCGACCAGAGTGGTCCTCATAATGGACGTTGTCATGGCCATCTTTGAATTGTCGTACCCACTTACGCACTTTGCTTTCACTCATAACAGTATCACCGTACACTTCACAAATCTGTCGATGAATTTCTGCAGCAGGCAGGTTCCTTGCTGACAGAAACCATATCATTGAGCAAACTTCACATGCGGAGGGTGAGTTGATAGTCTTAAATATTTTTAAAGCACAGAACAGAACCGTACAGGTTAGCTACAGAGCGGAAACTGAGCACAGTTGTTCCCGAGGCATGCCGGTACAGAACGCACGCACTCGTTGCGGTATGCACGTGAACTACTAGTGTCTACAACAAAACGGACCTTACTTTAAAAATACCCCTCGCACTTTTGGGAAGATATATTCTAGGACACAGACAGGGAGACCTTGACTCTCCAGATATTTCAAACTGTATCCTCCCCCCCCACCCCACCCCCCACCCACCCTCCCCCCCCCCCCCACCAAAACTCCGTTCTCTTTGGGCTGAATTGAAATGCAAAACATTTGGAGAAACAGAGATTCCCCACTACTTTGGTAGGAGAATGCAAGGTAGAAATACCCTCTACTATTTTTTTATGCTGGATATAGTTTGAGGGAAAACGTGAAAGATTGGCCATGATGTTTGCAAATACTTGGGGTTATGTATTAGGATATTGAAGCCTCCTTTCACAGATCAACCCTTGCTATCTTTAGGGTCCCAAAGGAACACAGGGACCTAAGGTGAGTTGCTAGTGTGCAAATGTTGTGCAATATTTCAAAACTAGTCTACTAAACATGCATGATGATAGCAAAGCGTAATAATACATGCTTTTGTTTGAAATTGTGCTGTTTTTGTTTTTAGTGAGTACCATCAATCATTTTTTGAATTTATTTGTAGTGTTTCCAAAGGAAGCCCCCTTGATCCCATTCATATTTTCATAGATGCAGGGAGTGAAATGCAAACCTTTTCCTGATTTTTTTAAGTTTAACATTTTATACTGAACAGAGGGATATCTTCTCATATCTCCGGTAGTTTGTTGATTAGCTATGTGATACTTTTAAAATTTTGTAACCACAACTTTAGAATTCCCTTTTCTTTTCTTCTTTTTTTTGAGGAGGTGTCATATTTATGTGTTGCTTCAAATGATGATTAGGCAAGCTAAAAGTTGAACACGTAATATCAAAGAGGAATAATATTAAGAACACATGGAGATATTTTCTCATTGCTCTGTAACAGGTTTTCTATGATTCTGTCCCTTCACCATGTCAGTCATGCTCCCTTCTCATTTTCTGCCATGAAATCCTTATTTACAAATTCTGTATTCATATTGCTATAAGGTAAAATAGATATGACAGAAGAAACCACAATGATTGTTCACCCCATTTTCATTTGGTGCCAATGTTTGGAATATTGGACTAAACTTTCTGAGAGACCAAGGTTCAAACTCTCCTTAACCATGGCATCACTGTGGGAGGCAATGGCAAGCCACTTCTTAAGAAATCTAGTTAAGACATCCTAGAGAGAGTTGCCATAAATCAGAGCTGACTGGAAGGCAGATTTCAACAAATACTGTGTTTCTTTTTTTTATAATCTTTATTAAGTTTTTCACAAGTAATTAAAAACAAGAGGGGATTTGGAAGGGGTAAGGCCGATAGGCAAGGAATGGTGGGTAAGGGAGGGGCGGGAAGGGAAGTGAGGTAACAGGGGGGAAGGGAAAGATCTGGATTGTTGGTGGGGAGGGGGGGAATTAAGAAAAAGAATAAAAGCTTGTGACTTCCCAGTATCATCATAAGGGTCTCTTCTTTTCCTCTTCCTTTTCACCTCTTTCACCTTCTTCCGTTTCTTATCTATTCCTTTCTCCCTCTCCTTTCCTTTGGTTTCATTTTCCGTAGTGTTTGTCTTGTTAATTTGTTAGGATCTTCTTGTTTCTTTCTTTAAAGTATTCTGACACCTTCTCCCAATTTTTTCTTTCCTGTTAATGCCTTTGTTCCTTAATATAAGAGAGGTAAGTCGGTCCATGTTTTTAATTTCCAGTATCTTCGTTAAGCGTTCGTCTTCATCCGGGGTTTCTTTCTGCTTCCACTTTCGCGCGTAGCAGATTCTGGCTGCTGTCATCATCAGGAACATCAATTTGTCCGAGTTTTGGTCAATTTCTAAGTCCTGCATTCCTAGTAGGAATATCTCTGGTCTCCAGGGGATGTTAATCTTCAGTATTTTTTGCACTTCTTTTTGTACTTCCTTCCAGTATCTTTTCGCTTTTGGGCACAACCACCACATGTGGTAGAACGACCCTTCTGTTTCCCCACATTTCCAGCACTTCGTGGTCATATTTTTGTAGGTCTTCCCCAATTTCTTTGGCGTCATGTACCATCTATACGCGATCTTTGCCCAGTTCTCTTTTAGATCCGTCGCATAACAGTATTTTAGTCTTCTCCTCCAGGCCTCCTCCCATTCTTCTTTTCTAATTGTTCTTCCTAGGTTTTCATTCCATCTCCTCATGTATGTTTCGCCCTTTTTTGACTCTAATTCCCATTCAAGTAATTTCCTATAAATTTTCGTTATCAATTTTTCCCCCTGATTCCATTATTTTGTCCCAGAATTTTTTTTCTAGATTGAACCCTATTTCCTTATCTTTTTTTAATCTTTCTTTAATTTGCCAATATTGTAGCCATGTTATTTTTTGATCTAGCGTGTTTAGTTCCTTTTAGTGTCACTTCTCCTCCCTCTTTTTTTAATATATCCTTGTATTTTGGCCACTCATGCCATCCCATGCACCTTCTTTGTTCAGCTTCTAGGGGGGATATCCATATCGGTATTTTTTTATATAATTTATTCTTGTATTTTTCCCAAACCTTCAATATTGTGGATCGCACGAAATGATTCCCAAAGTTCTTCTCTGTCTTTTTTCCCTTGTACCAAATATATGTGTGCCACCCCTCTCTTAGCTCTATCCCTTCTAGAATCAGCAGCTTCTTTTTCTCCAGCATCGCCCAATCCCTTGCCCAGATTAAGGCGTTTGAGTCAAAGTATATTTTTAGGTCCGGTGTGGATAGTCCCCCTTTCTCCTTTCGTTCTCTCATATTATCATAGTGGATTCTTGGCTTTTTGTTTTTCCAGATGAATCTTACCACATCTCTGTTCCATTCTTTTAATGTCTTCTGGTTCCTTACTATCGGCAAATTTTGGAATAAGAACATCATTTTTGGTATTACCATCGTTTTTATCATTGCTATGCGTCCCATTAACGATAGATTCAGATTGCTCCATCCTTCCATATCTTTCTTGATTTCCTTCCATTTGGTTGTATAGTTGTTTTGTAGTAGTTGCAGATTTCTGGCCGTCAGTATTATCCCTAGGTATTTTAGCTTTGTGACTATTTGTATCTTCCAATTATCTTTTATTTCATTTTGTTCTTTTTTCTTTACATTTTTTGTTAGTGCTTTAGCTTTTTCCATATTAATTTTAAATCCTGAAACCTCTCCGAATTTCTTTATTACATTAAGCCAATCTCCTAATTTCTGTTTGGGATCTTCAATTATGCATATGACGTCATCGGCATATGCACGTATTTTATATTCTTGCCCTTGTATTTTCGCCCCTTTTAGGTCTTTTTCCTCTCTCAGTTTATTCAGCAGTATCTCCAGAGTTAGGATAAACAAAAGTGGGGAGAGTGGGCACCCCTGTCTTGTTCCTTTCTTAATTTCTATTTTTTCTGAACAAATACTGTGTTTCCACAAGCCAAAGGGCTGTGAATGTGTCAACGCTCCATTTACAAGATGGATCATGAACCCTTAAAAACCAAACACAACATTATTTTGTGGGTTGCTGTGAGTTTTCCAGGCTGTATGGCCATATTCCAGAAGCATTCTCTCCTGACATTTCCCATATCCAAGGCAGGCATCCTCAGAGGTTGTGAGGTCTGTTTGAAACTAAAGAAATTAGGTTTATATATCTGTGGAATGTCCAGGGTGGGAAAAAGAACTCTTGCCTGCTTGAGACAAGTGTGGCTGTTTCAATTGTCCACCTTGATTAGCATTTAATGGCCTTGCTGGTTGCTGCCTTGGGGTACCAGTATTTAAAAACGCTAAAATCAGGACAGTAAATAAAGAGCAACGCACTCAAAATGGGGGAATTCTGGACAAGAATCAATCAGGGCCAGCTAACACCTCCCAACAAAAGCTCCTCCCAGGCAGCAACCAGCCAGGCTTTCAAGCTGAAAAGCCATTAAATGCTAATCAAGGTGGGCAATTGCAACATTCACACTTGCCTCAAACAGACAAGAGTTCTTTCTCCCACCCTGAACATTCCACAGATATATAAACCTCACTTGCCTAGTTTCCAAAAGACCTCACAACCTCTGAGGATGACGGCCATAGATGTGGGAGAAATGTTGGGAGAGAATGCTTCTGGAACATGGCCATACAGCATGGAAAACTCACAGCAACCCAGTGATTCCAGCATGAAAGCCTTTGACAACACATTCTTTTGTGGGTTTATTTTTAGCTCTGTACCTTCTTGTGTTCAGGCTGATCTGGATGAAAGAATACTAAATACAGTACAACTTGCATGTGTGAGAACGGCTTTGCCCAGCACTAGCTGTTTGCGTTTGATTTCTTGTTCATTGAAACAAAATGATTGCAACATAGATGTAACAGCATAAGCATTAAGGATTACTCCAGCTGCGTTCTTTTGCTCATGGAAAGCTCTTGACTCTTCCCAGGGCAAATAGAGAGGGAGACAATGATTATTTTTGGTCTTTTTTCCCCATTGTCCTGGAGCCTATTATGGCATTTCTTATAGTGTTGCAAATAAATACTTTACTTACGTTCTAGTTCAGATGGGCAAGACAAGGAAGCCTTCAAGGACAAGCTGGGAAGGTGTAATGAAACTCTTTCTCTCCCACTCTCCTACTTTCACCCATTTCCAAACAATTCCATTCAGAGTCTAAGAAGAATTGTTACTATGCCACCTACTCCGTTTTCATGATTCCTTATTATATTACTTATTACCATTTTTTTTAAAAATGTCTTGAAATGGGAGAAAGAAATCCTTTCTCCAAAAGAAAAAAAAAGGAAAAATGCCATTAGACCATTTTGTAAAAGGAATTCATTATGCCCTTGTTACTCCTCTACCCAATAACACATTGCAGATGATATTATGACATGTAACATGCTCTTTAAAGCTTTGTTGCCCTCAGAAATTTCCATGAGCAGAAAATTATAACTAAAGACATTGGGGTAAAGTTAGCTATAAAAACTAACACTTTGACCTTGCTCTTTTGCAGGGTCCTCAAGGAATTCAAGGACAAAAGGTGAGTCACTTAAATGGATTTAAAAGTACTAGTGAATTGCAGTGGTACTGAACAAAAAGATTGGCTTCTCGGGAACAAGTGCCTGACACTGCCTCCTGTAGATTAGTTGGTAAGGATAGATTTTAATCAACGGAATTGTGAATTTAATATTTTATTTTGAAGCTATTTTTGCTTTGGTGGTTTAGTGCACTATGTACTAAAGAAATAAATCATTTTATGTATTGTATTAATTATTTATTTATCTACTTTTAAAGGGTTGTGGTGCTTGTTAAATGGTAGATTATATCATGTTACTTTGGAACACCAAGATGCTTTGGGCCAGGTTTTGGAAACATCTGACTTTGTCCAATTTTAGCTGAGATATAAAACAAAGAATTAAATTAATTTAATTTTCATAAATACATGTATTTTTTCTTGCAGGGTTCAGATGGTGCAAAGGGGGCAAAAGGTGAAAGTGGTCATAACGGCGAAAAAGGTGCTCCCGGGCCACAAGTAAGTAGGAAACTCTGACAGAATTTACAGCCTCTAGTTGCTTTGTGGTTCACCAAAAAAAGATGCTTTAACAGCAGCCCGTCCAAGCCTTGCCCATTATTTGCTTTTCTCTCTAGGGTCCGACTGGTGCCCCAGGGCTTATTGGCTTACCAGGCACTAAAGGAGAGAAGGTAAGCTCTGGATGAAAGAATGGTTTTAACATTGTGAATCTTTGAAACTATTAAGAACTTCTTGCAACCAGGTCCCTTTGTGAAAATTAATATAAAATTAAAGTAGCTTTGGAGCCCCATTTTGAGAATACTTTTTCAAAGACACCATTTATATGTATGTGTTGAATTTATACCCCACCTTTCTCCCAAAATGGGACTCAAGGAGGCTTAGGTGTGTTACATGGCTTCTTCCTATCAGTGCTGCACCATGCTGCTCCAGCATTCATTCTTTCTGCTCACAGATCTCTGTATGTGTATGCATAAATTATAGTTTTTATTTATTATAAATAATTAATCTATAGAAAATGCAAAAAAGTCTTCCTATACTGCTTATAGCACTGTCAGTCTATTGACAAAGTCACAAGTTTGTGTTTGTTGATAGACAATCTTTGTTCTCCAAGTTCAATAAACAGTAATCAAAACTCAGACTACCACTTTACGACCCACATTAGTTTCATTAGGAGAAAACTAGTTATGTGATTGCCTTTCCCTTTGACCTCAAATACACTTCAGTATGCTTGGATTACAGCCTTTATGTTTAACCAAAATTAAGCTTATATGAATGATACTCATAAAACATTATTTCCCTCTCTCACCATTTCACTTTTCTGTTTCTTCCTCTTAAATACATCCAGGGAAAACCAGGGGAACCAGGATTAGATGTAAGTAATGGATGTGCAAACTACATTTTTGTCAGCACTATGTCATCACCTGATACAGAAAGTAACCCAGCACAAGTTGAAGTACAAATAATTGTTATGCAAAGCTAGTGGGGAAAGGGGCATAGCTGGATGGCCAGACATACACTTTGGTCCTGCATTCAACTCTTAGCATCTCCACTTTATAGGTCCCAGATAGCAGAACTAGAGAGACCTTTCTTTACAACTCTGAGGGAGTAATTTGCAGGAGTAGTATAGAATTGCACCAGTAGACAGATAGTGTAATTCACTATACTTTTATTCTATCAGTTAACCTTCTGAGGTTTGTCTGGTAGCATGTTGCAAGTTGCTTCTGGTGTGAGAGAATCAGCCATGTACAAAGGCGTTGCCCAGGACACACCCAGATGTGCTGCAATCCTGCAGGGAGGCTTCTCTCATGTCCCCACTACTGAGGTTATAACTGTACCCGTGGTTCACTCCTGATGCGATAAATAAATAAACCTACTGAGGTAAAGTGGCCACTAGAGAGGGGAAGTCTTCTTGATGGTGTTGCCCCAAGAATCTCCTTGGAGAAACCTGGTCTGCTACCCACCTTATTGTGGATTGCTGTTGAATAAAGACCCAAGCTCATGCAATCCAGTTTTAATTCTGCCTATGTTTATGTTGTTTTTCATATTGTGGTTTTAGCTTATTTTATTTTTTGTGTATTTACAATGCTATTGCTTTTTGTTAACTGCACTGATAATATGATTGAAGCGGAATATTAAAATGGCAATCATACATAAATAAGACAAATATATGAAATAAAGGCATATCAGTTATCAAAAAGAGTCCCAATCTGGGGGTGGAGGTGTGTCAACCAATCCTGGATGGGGTTATACTTCCCCTGAAAGACTGTGTTTGCAGCTTGGGAGTGTTTCTGGATCCATCCCTCCAAATGTCATCCCAGGTAGATATGACAGTCAGGAGTACTTAATATCAGCTTTGGCTGATCCGCAAGCTGCACCTCTTTATAGATTTGGAGGACCTAAAGATAGTAGTGCATACACTGGTAATGTCAAGGTTGGTCTTCTGCAATGCTTTACATGGGTTACCATTGTACCAAGTTCAGAAACTCAAGCTGGTTCAAAATACAGCAGCCAGATTAGTTATAACAATGTCTAGGAGTGAGCACATTACACCCTTTTACTAAAGTCACTCCACTGGCTGCCTATTAGTTTCTGGGCAAAGTATAAGATGTTGGTTTTGATCATGGTTTGGGTCCAGGTTACCTACAGGATTGCCTTCTCCCATACAATCTGCACTGAACACTGAGGTCCTCTGGGAGGCAGCTACACCATCCTGCCAGAATTCAAATGGTAGCCCTCACCAGAGGACCTTTTCATCGGCCACCCCAAGACTGTGAAATGATTTGCCAGAAGAGCTCCAACAGCTAAATGAGTTGTCAGAATTTAGTTAAGTTACTATGTATGTTATTACAGAGGTAGCTAATTGTTGTTAATATTGTAATTTTGATAGATCATTTGTTTTATGTTACATTTTAGTTTTTGTTTTTTTCAAAAAAGCTAAACTCTGAGACAGTTTCAACATTTTTTGCAATAATGCAGGCTTTAAAAAAAATTGCAGTTGCTCATTTCTCCCATTGCTTGGTTGCTATTTTTTTTTAGTATTATAGATGTTTTGATGTTTTTGTAGGGTTTTCCAGGCCTAAGAGGAGAAAAAGGAGAAAAAAGTGAAAGAGGAGAGAAGGTTAGTACCATTTCCTACTCACGGAAGTAGATGCATATGTGATGGTCTGCAGGCGGCAACAAGGTTCCAGGAGAATCTATCCATAAGTGCATTTAAAAACTTCAGATTTGTCACTTATCATTTAAGCATCCTTAGAAAGTATTGGTTAGATGTCACAGACCTAAGCCACCTTCATTCTATACACATAAAACCAACATCATTATTAAACCTTTTATGCAAATGGGAAACATGTTTGTTACCAAGATTCAATCACAACTTTGCTTATTTTAGCTTAGTGTTTCTCCATATGACAGTATCTGAGCTTTACTGTACAGCGAAAAGAAATGGTTAAGCACAAACAAAGTCTAACTAGGCAGTGGTTGAAGCTTCAATTGATATTTATCTTCTTTCAGAAAATAAGATTTTAATTTTTTCTTGTATCTCCAGGGAGAAAGAGGACTGCCTGGGAGAAAAGGAGCAAAGGGTCAAAAGGGAGAACCGGGACCCCCTGGATTGGATCAACCTTGTCCAGTGGTATGGTTTTATATGACCAGGAATATTTGCCTCCTTTATTTCAGCTGCTTTTCATCATGGCTGCAGAAATGCAAAAATAATTTTGAAAGCAGGCTGTTGCAAATTTAGAGAGACAAAATCAAATTGTATCTTTAATATAGCAGTCTACAAACATGAAACAATCAAGTAACCCACCAAGTATAGTGTTGCCTGCTGAGAAATCTCTTCCAAAGTAATGAAATAACACAGCCACAGTGAAGACCTCAAATAAATGATAACCCCGCTATTTATCAAGCCAGAAAAAAATCCTATTACTACAGATGGAGGTATATTAGATATGGATTCAATTTCCTCTGGTATTGGATCTCGCCTTATGCCTGCAAGAATAGTTAGCAGGGTTATCAAAAGGTTTGGCAATGACAATATTTGGCACCGGTACTAATGTGATGGGTCACAAGTTAATGAAGATCTGCTTTATGTTCTTTAATACTAAACAGATTTCTAAGAATATCACACCAGTCACAATGAAAACCTCACTCCTCAAATACCATTTTAAGCCTCTATCCCAAGGCACATAATAAATTTTGGTTTTACTTTCAGTAACAGCTGAAGGAAGAAATGAGTCCGTATGAATTCTTCTACCCTCCCCCTCAGAGGTCTGGGTTTCTATAGTGGAGTAAATATCCTCAGTTCTGTGCAGTTTCTTTAGGTCTCTAAAATGTATCTTCACTTTCTTTCTGTTCTTTCTTTCCCTTTCCTTTACTATAATTTTTCTGTATATTTCTCCTTTTTCAATTAACAGTTCATTTTTAAAGGGGAGCCAGCTTTACCAGAACTGGATGGTGTGGATATGCTTTGCCCTTTGGTATAGTATCCTCCTCTTTCTCTCTTCTTCTGCATGCCTTCTTCTGCTTATACTTTTTCTACATCCTTCCTTTCTCCCATTCTGGAAACTGCAAATTTCTTTCAAAGTGGATTAATAAACACTATGAAACAAAGCACATATAGCTGTATGTAATCCTTTTAGTGCTCAGACAGTCCTACCTGAGTTATACAGCTGCCTCAGGCAGCAGTTCAAGGTGGGGGGGGGGGAGAAAAGAGTATAATAGGCACTCCTATTATACAATTTATGCAGAATATGTAAGTGGACTCTCTGTAATAAATTATTTATCTAAGACAACAAGATAAGTAAATGTGTATTTATGAGCACCTATGTACAAAAACAGCCACTGAGAGTATCAATTTTTCGTGATCATTCATTGAAAACTGAGAGAAATACCACTAGAACAATGACCTGTAGGAATATCCAAGCCCCTTTTCTCCAGATATTTCTGGTTTCTTAGCTCCACCTTCTGAGACCTACTTGTTGACTCCAAGCAGGACGTGTTTATTACATTGGCCAGCGCACATTTTGGTGCCTCAAATGTTAGACCTATTTTGGATATATTTGTCCTGCTGATTCAAAAATTGCACCAGTTTTCCACTATCAGCTCTAGCTTTTGAGATACAGAACATGTGACATCTGTCAGTCTTCATCTACTCACCCAGAGAAAGCCATAACCATACCTAAGAAAATAGAGCTGATGTATTCTATCAAATGCAATTTTCTGAATCAGTTCCCCAGATAAACCCAGGAACATGTCTAAATATCAAAACACCAAGAAAATTTGTTGATGTTGAGCTGTGATATGCCTACCCAACTTTGACATTAGACATCAGTGTCTAATCTCTTCTGATGCTTTGGTCAGGCTTCATAGTTTGAGGTGTGCCAGTCTTTCTGGCTCCTGCTCTGCTTAGTCAATCAATGGCTGAATAATTAGGGAAAATGTGAGCCAAACTTTTAAATCAGGAGTCAAATTCCAGACAGATTTGTATCAAGAGCAAATCAGCCTGAACTCTCGTTTGAAGCCAAATTGATAAAACAAAGTCTATCATTTTTTGGATATGACATAAGACATGGAAAAAAAGACAATGTTCAGTAAAGTTGAAGGCAGGATGAAGACAACATTTCAAGTGGATTGTCTCTGCAAAGGAAACCACAACCCTAAGTGTGCAAGACCTGAGCAGAACTATTAATAAGGTTTTCTGTGAGCCTCTCATTCAAAGGGGCACCATAAACTGAAGTCAGCTTGGCAGCACATAACAATTCAAATCACAATGAATCCAAACTCCATTTTTCTTGGCAGTCATGGAGTTTTGAAACATGTCCAAGATCCTATATCAAGCAATATATCTCCATGAAGTTCATATTACTATATAAAACCGAGGCATTTTCAGTTGAGCAAGAGGGCAAAAAGCAGTCATTAGCAAATCATCTGTGTATTTGTCAACATTTGCATCCTACATAAATATTTTTATTCGGACACAGTATTCCATTTTTGCATGGGCCTTCATATTTGCTGGCATTATTTTTCAGATATTATGATTAATAAAAAAATAAAGAGAAATAGAGAACTTGTTTATCCTTGTGTATTGTAGCAATGCAAGTTGTTTCATTACTTTTTACAGGGACCAGATGGATTACCAGTACCAGGATGCTGGCACAAGGTATTGCAGAATAGCCTGGATTTTCTCTTTGATCTGATTATTGTTTGTTGTTTAGTGAGATCAAAAGCATGGAAACACCAATAAGTGTTACATAGGTTTTGCTTAAAAATAATAGAGGCAAATCTAAATGTATCTGCGTAAATGTCTCCATAGCAATCTAATCACAAGAGCAATCTAACTGAACCAGAGCAACTGTCACCTTCAAATATAGTTCAATTAAATGATAATGGCCAATGTTTCATGACAAATTTGAACGTTCCCTTTTTATTTCTCTTTGAGGGCATTGCATTCCATAGTTAAAAATTGTAATGGATGTAGTTTTTATGCTCTAAAATATAATTAGTGGTAGCAGTTTATCTGTAAGTCCCCTCGTTCTTAGCTCTAATCATGCCACAGAAATATATATATTACCTCAGTTTTAAAGCTGACTTTGCACCTTGCTTTCAAGAGCTTTTTACAATATATTTTAGTTTGTTTCCAACTGGGATAATTTAGAGGAAAACAGCAGGTGATTATAGCACCCCAGATCTCTAACAGCGGACTATGCAGAGATTAAGCAGGGGGGTTCTCCCATCAAAGTCATCCTTTTTCTGTATTTTCACACTAAGCAGGTTTTGAGCCTAAATCTGCTTGATAAACTTTTTCTAGTCTGTTTTCTAGTCTGTTTTTCACTGGGTTTGGTATATTTTTAGTCTTTTTATGTTGTATGTGCAAGGTATCTCTTTGAATAAAAACTGGCATATAATTTGTTAGAGAGCCAGCATAATGTAGTGGTTTGAGTGTTAGGATAGGAGTTTGAGAGACCACAGTTCAAAATCTCCTCTTGGCCATGAAACTCCCTGGGTGACCTTGGGTAAGGCATACTTTCTCAGAGGCAGGCAATAATAAACTTTTTCAACTTATGGCAACCTCAGATGGGTCACCATAACTTGGGAACTACATCAAGAAATGAAACAACACATTTTAATAAATATGTCACAAATGCTGCACCTCCTATAATACACTGTATTTGAGGAAGAACAGTTGTACAGTACAATCATATTATTGTACGCAAGCAAAAACTATCACCAGATAATGTTAAAATATATCTTTAATGGGATATCAGAACCAGAAGCTTTCTTTTATTGTCCAAAGTTTCACATTATTTTTTTACCCAACACAAACATTTTGTAAATATAGTTCAAAAACTTGCATGTTAACAAAGCACATATGTTCCTAAATGGATGAGAGTGGGATGCATGCTAAGCCTGTGTTTTAAAACATGTCTCTGTTTTTATCTTTTTCCTCTAGTGATCCTGCAAGCATGGATTGTGTAAATAATAGTGTAAAATATTTTGGTCTTTTCTAATTTTTATACAAAAAGAAGGGGAAGTCGCACAAACAATAAGTCTTCAACAGTAATATATTGAGTGTTTTATACTGAATGATGTCATGAATGAATATTAAAGACCTAAACGTTCCCAGGGCCCCTAGGACAAGCATAAGTAATGCCACAAGTTTATAACTGGACGCTGAGGTAGCTGGGAATGACTATTATTCGCTGCTAATGCTACTGTCTGGAGTGGACTAACAGCACTGAGAAACTTTACCTAGTGTGCCTTTGTGTTGCATGGAGAAGGAACGTCTTTCTTCTAAATGTTGGCTTTCATCCTTGAAATTCTGTTGCACGTAGTCCCAGATGCAAACAGAGGAGAAAACAAAAAAGAAAAAGAAGATACAGCCCTAGAAGCAAGACATGCTGTGCTTTATGGATGAATGTAGGAGGAACTTCCCATCTGGAAAAGTGTATACAAGTGTTACCATATGTGCTGCTACTTGCCTCCACTTTGAAGAAATCTTTAACAGACAGGGTCACTGCAACCTACTCTGTCATCAGTGGCTGCTTCTCCTTGTGAAGAAACCTCTGGAAGAACCTCTGCTTGCTTAAGCCTGAGAAATTCCCTTGCAAGACTTAGTATTGCAGCATTGAGGAAACTCAGAGCAATTTACTTGCCAAACAGTTTTTCTTTTCCTTTGGAAAAAAAAATAAACAGTAAGGAAATTCATCTCCGTTTTCAGATTTGGAAACCAACGGAAAATCTGTGTGATGTATCTTTCCTAACACCAGGACATGAATGGCAACTACTTGGTGTAAGATTGAGAAAGATTCCCATATGAAGTCCCATACTTGTTTCCACGGACATCCGGACTTGCTATATCAAAACTGAAAAACTAGACCTTCATTTTCCATCTGGCTTCCCCACTCCATATATACAAATAAGTACTTCATTACTTAGATTAGAACAGTGTCATTGGTGTGTAAATATTTCCCAAACAAAACTACGTGTGGTCAGAAGTTCAAGAATAGGATGAGTAATTTGTTCATGGAAGCAGTTCTTTTGGCTGTGATTCTCCAAAGTATAGAGATCCTGGAGAAGCTCCACATTTTGTGAAGTAGCTGCATCAGTCCCTGGTAGTTCTATCGGATGGCAGTGTTACTGGCAGATGTGTGAACAAAAGGCCTCTTCTTAAATGCGCCTGGATGTTCTGGACTATTGCTTGCTACAAAGAGTGGAGCTGCTCTAGCACCCAACTCTAATGGATTGTGAAAACACAAATAATAATGACAGAGTAAAACATGATCCCTGATATTTATCTTTGCTATAACTGGTTTGGGACTTCCTAATTCCAGGAGTTCAAGCAGGTTCACACATAGCCCATGGTCAGCTTGTGCTTGCAACAAGAAATGGATTCATTTGAAATAGCACTGCCCACAACTGTGTAATGCTGTATATCCCCCATGAACTAAAGTGGCTTTGCTGTTTACAAGCTCACATACTTGCTCTTTTTTTTTTTCTTCCTCTAGCAGACATAAATTTGATCCACTTACTGGGTCAGCCCTTGAGTTGAGTTTAATTCAGAATACTCCTTTCGGCAGCAGAGGAGACAACATGGTGCTCAGCAGTTCCCGCCTCTCTTTGCAGACTCATCACTACCCCCCCCCCCCCCCCCCCCCCCCGCTGTTCTGGAAGGACCCCCAACACTCCAGTGCATATGAAGGCGTGAGGAACTACAGGGGGAGATGGGAATCTGCAAACATTATCATTTCCCTTTGTGCTCCCTGGATCAGAAACCTTCCAGGGATATAAAAATCTCTTATATCTGTGTGAGGCTTAAGATGGAGCCAATCTAATGATGTTACACTGTCAAAACTAACGTCAGACTCCACATTTGATTATTACATGTTTTATTTAAAATTGCTGAAGAGTTGCAATCTTAAAAGGTCATTTGGGTGTCAATAATCCTACGAGATCCATATGAATACAGCAAAAGTTGAGGATGGAGAGTGAATAGAATTTGCTTTGTCTTAAAAGAATTTGATATCTGAGAATGATGATGCCTGTAAAGGAAAGTTGGGAAGGAAGCTATTGCTCTGATGGGGATGCTGTAAATAAAATGAGATTAGAAGAAGAGTTGCCAATATCTGGTTTTGAAAATGGCTAATACCTTGAATGACTGCTGGAAAAGAAAAACTTAGCCTGGTCCTGCTTATTTCATCACTAGAATAACAGAAACCTTTTTACAGGTATTTTTCTGTTCCACAGCTGTTAAAAGTAATGCTACTCTCCATGAGTTAAAGGCTGGCAGCCATAGTTGGGAGACATTTCTGATCTGCTAGAGCATAGTTGACTCACAGAAATTATGGCTTTGTGGAGGGTACCTGAATCCTTTGACCTCTGAAATTTTTAATCAGGCCTTCTAGTAATTTCCTTCTCATGAATTATTAAAATACTGTATCAACATCAGGAAGCAGTAATAGTGATCAAGCTCTCATGAGCACTCACATGTTTACAGGAACCAAGGGAAATCATACTTTGTGGTTTGAACGAAACCTAGCAAGCTTGAATTTCCCTTCCCCCATTTATTTTGGTGCTAATTGGCTTCATTCTAATTCAGAGTTTAAGCCCTCATTCCTAGAGGTGGCTTGAAGCATATCCCAAAGTGCTGGTTTGCACTACTGGCTAGACTTTACTTCTGTAATGATGACATGATGTTCGCTGGCAGTGTAGTTGGAAGATGCTTCAAGACTGCTATCCCATGAATCTTCAGTAATATTAAATATTTCCTTTTTTACTGCTTGTAAAAGTCATGTAGACAACCTCCACCTAATGCTTTAAAATAGTGTACAAGTCTTCAAAGTAGAAGATGCATTTTATACATTTAAAAAGTAAGATTGTAAAGTTAACATTGCTTCACTTGTTACTATTGTGGATTGTGTATGTTAGCTGTAGATTTGGCTTTTGAGGTTTGACATTATTTTGCTCCCTAAAGATAATCTGTTTTGTAAATGAAGAAAAGCTACACCAAAGGAAAGATTAGCTATTTTTTTTAATCGTTTCAGAAGCGACTTGAGAAACTGCAAGTCGCTTCTAGTGTGAGAGAATTGACTGTTTGCAAGGAAGTTGCCCGGGGGACGCCCGGATGTTTTTACTATCCTGTGGGAGGGTTCACTCGTGTTCCCGCATGGGAAGGTGGGGCTGACAGAAAGGTGCTCACCCCGTCTCATGGATTCAAGCCCCCGACCTTCAGGTCTACAGTTCGGCCAGCACAAGGGTTTAACCCATTGTGCTACCATGGCTCCTAGACTAACTAATAATCTTCTTACTTAAAAAAAATCTTAATATCAGTGCAGAAGATCAGCTTTTCTATCCCCTTTGAAAGTCAAAGCATTTTGTGCATCACTCTGCTTTTGCATATAATGCGCTTTTTCAGATAGCAGAAATCAGTGGCAAGTCACATTGATCTTTTGAGAGCAACATTGATTTTCCTTTCTTCTTGTGAAATCCTTTACTCCAGCCTATATTGTTTGATTTTTATATTGCATACCAATGCACATTCATTTCCTGACAGAAGGAATGATTGGAGAACATGGTAAACTGAGAATTCAAAGAGGAGTTTTGATTAAGTGGACATTTCCCACAATTTTAGCCCAATCCAGAGGTGAGGTATCGACATATATATATATTTGGTCAAACCTCTCAGAATTCCCACAAAGTTTTCCCATTTTCCCCTACCTGTCTTAAAAGGATCTGGGGCTGTTCTGCCACCACAAACATGACCTCAAATGTCTGCAAGTTTAGCCCCATTGACAGGAGAACATCAGAAGGCCCTGCCATCCTATCTCATGATATATAATCATTTATGTCCCATTAGTTTAAATGTAGGCAGTTCTGAAGTTATGAACAAAGTAGGTTTTGTAGGTTTGTTCGTAAGTTGTATTTGTATATCAGTCAAAACAGGTACATTTTAAAGTGTAACTCATATATTAGTTTTGGATAGCATAAGAGTTAACACCCTTTGGTGTTTGTTTTGCTGTCTGCACTCCTGTTCAAAAGATTTCACTTCCCTTTCTGTTCCTGTGAGAATTGGATGTTGACAAATTTCGCTTGTTATAGAAACAAGGATTGGTGATAAAGCTTCAGTGAATATTTCTCTCGCTTCCTGTTGTCTCACCCCTGTTCTTAACTATGAATTGTTTGTAAGTCGGATGTTTGTAACTTGGGGACTACATGTACATTGTGATTAGGTACCATTCCTCAAATACACTTTTATCAGTTTCCTTTCAAACACAGGAGATGATTCAGAGATATCTCCAAAAGTACTTGTCAGGGCCATATTTCATGTTGTAGGGCAGTGGTTCCCAAACTTTGATCCTACCACTGCTGTAGGGTGTCAGGGAAAAGTAAGTTAATTTGAAGCCCAGGAAACAATTGACATTTCAGTAGAAGTGGCCCTTACTCATTATAGCAGTTAAGCCACCAAATCACCACTAGATGTCAACATAATCGATGGTTTGAACAAGAGACTTCTGTATGCAACAATCAAGATGAATTTTCAAAAGCAGTTAATTCAGTATGTTTATGAAGAAACTTGTTGATAATCCTGATACTAAATTTAGATGAACAAACATCATTACCTAATTCAATTCACTACCTTAGAATTCTACTAACTGTAATTATTTGGTCCAATTACATCCTCATAAAGTGTCTGCACTAATACCCTTTGATTGTTTTATTTAATCCTTTTTCAAAAATTCTTTACAACAGTCTTTACCGATCTTTGTATGTTGGATGAACCTTTGAAATGATTTTCAGTTCTCCGAGAACCCCTGCATAAAAATTACTGCATTTACAGCTCAAAGGCAGATGTATTTAAAAACAAAACACAAAATCCAAGACTCTCACAGAACTCCAGCAATCTCTTGAAGAACCCTGCTTAAGGCAGTTTCTGCTTCCAATATAATATCCAGTAAAATGACTGATAAATACCAACTTCTTCTAAAGTGCATACTGAATAAACTGCACTCACAGCAGATGTTCATTTGGAAAAGCAAGCATTTCAATGAAAAAAATATACCTTGTATTCAACCGATGTCCTGATTTTAGTGTAGATGTCAGCCCCCATATCTCTGGGGTTAGGGGCACACAAAAATGAGAAGACATGTATTTAACAAATGCATTTTTTTACCTGACCGAACACCTCTTTTTGTTGGAAGTTTACCACAGAATTGCTCTGGAGGAGCTAAAAATACTAGAGAGAACATTTTAATCAGATTCATAAAAGGTAAAGGTTTTCCCTTGACATTAAGTCTAATCGTGTCCGACTCTGGGGGGTGGTGCCCATCTCCGTTTCTAAGCTGAAGAGCCGGCGTTGTCCATAGATGCCTCCAAGGTCATGTGGCCGGCATGACTGCATGGAGTGCCATTACCTTCCCGCTAGAGTGGTACCTATTGATCTACTCACATCTGCATGTTTTTGAAATGCTAGGTTAGCAGAAGCTGGTGCTAACAGGGGGAGCTCACCCCACTCCCAAGGATTCAAACCACTGACCTTTCGGTCAGCAAGTTCAGCAGCTCAATGGTTTAACCCACTGCACAACCATAAAAGACAAACCCACAAAAAAGGCACACCGATTGTACTTTTTATGATGGGCTATAAATTTGTAGTCCTAAAAGAATGAAATAATAATCCTAATACATGTTCTCTAGGCGTGATCCAATTACTCACTATTTAATCCAGTTTACTTAAAAGGTAGACCAATGCATAATGTTCACGCATACATCTCCCACTGAAAAGAATGGGAAGTGGAAATATGTTGTTACAAATTTATCATGCCTTTATTGCCACAAAGTGCTAGGTCACAGAGAACTGAAAAGGCCTCCTTCATTTTCAAAACCAAAAACTAGGAAACATTGTTGTCTAAAGTGGATTTCACTTAGGATATATAGCGTTACAATTATACATTCATCTTGCTCCTGCCTTTAATCTGTTTTGAGGTTTTGCTCTAAATAGACCGAATGCTCAGATAATGCCTTTCTCCCTTTTCCTTCCAGGGAAACACTGATTTTATATATATTTATCTCAGAGAGTTATTGATAGTTCAGATCCACAGGTGCCAAAGTTACCAGTGTTATAATGCTAACTTACTACTATTCACTGCAGAGAATTGGAACTCAGCTAATCTAAGAAATGTGCCCTACTTCAGAGATGATACAGTAAATCTGTACTGATTAATTGCCTTGCAAATAATTATGGTGCAATTCTGCAGCTCTGGTTAGCTACCAGTTTTCCTAGCCACCACCTTGAGGTTAAATGAAAGGTGGGGGGCCAGCCTCAAAAGGTCACTTGCCATTGACTTACATTGCAACAGGTGCCTCTCTTGCCATACCTCTTTCATCTGTACCTTGGCAGCTTAGAGGTCAGATGGTGTCCCCAAAGGGCCATCGGATGGCCCACAGCCTCCTGTTGTTGACCCCTATTCTGCAGGGTGCTGAGCAATAAAGATCAGGAAGAGATCTTGATGATTAATCATTCAAGTTCCCTTTATTTCACTTGGAACCATAGGCCAGTTCAAAACAAAGTAGACTGTATATGCTCTACTCTCAAGTGCAATTATGAGTAAAGAAAATCGTGTTATATCATGTCTTTTATATCCAATGCAAATCTTATTCAGTACATATGTAGAACATGTATGACTGCAGGTGAATGAAGAGGCTGACAAATTCCAGTCTGGCTCACTTAGCTGTGCTGGAGTTTAATGTTAATGTTAGATGCATTTTTTTATGTGACGAATTCTCTTCACCGGGCAAGAAGAAATAAGGGCTTTGACAGTTATGTCTCCTGTAAGGAACTTTGTGGAATGTATTTATATGCTTTATACTTTCTAAAAACGAAACTCTGCCGAGCTTCAGCAAACTGTATAGCTTTGCTTTAAAATGAAGTTAAAGGGGAATATTTTATGTAACAGGCCTATTACTAGTTACAACTGCCTATAAATTTTCTAACATGTTACATGCCGCAACAAGTGTTATATTAGTTGTAATAAGGGGGAACAACTATTTTTAAAAAAAGAAATGAAGGCATTAATACAGTATTATGCATTATTGAATAAAAAATAATGGACTTGTACTGATCAATTCTGTTTTGTAAATTTTACAACAGGCACTGCATTGTTTCGCAGTGTTCCCACTATCTTGTGCTTTAATCCATAGCAAGAGTTGATATTTGAACAGATTAAAAATAAATTGCTTCTTGTACATATAGTTTTTACTATGGCTTTTGTCATTTCTCTCTTGTTTAGCCCTCAGCATACACAACCAGAACTGTGGTCCCATTCTGGCATTTAGGTTAAGATTAACAGGTTTTTTTCCATCCAGTTGAGCTCTTACCCAGACTTCAAACCAGCTGTTGCACAGTGCATATTCTGCATTACTCAATGGTGCCCAGTCATCGGCATTAGTTGTACAATATTGCTATTTTACATGGTATTGAATGGAGCCCCCAGTGGCGCAATGGGTTAAACCCTTGTGCTGGCAGGACTGAAGACTGACAGGTCAGTGGTTCGAACCCGAGGAGAGTGGGTTGAGCTCCCTCTGTTAGCTCCAGCTCCCCATGCAGGGACATGACAGAAGCCTCCCACAAGGATGGTAAAACATCAAACATCCAGGCATTCCTTGGGTAACGTCCTTGCAGATGGCCAGTAATAGTACCACAGCATAGCTGCACATTTAAATGTTTAAGACATGTTGAGGGAATGTCGGATCGCAGGCACTGGATATCTTAAAGTATTCTTTACACCAAGGATAAGCAACTTTGGCTCACCAGATATTGGAATGCAACTTCCATCAGTTCTGGACAGCATAGCTAAAGGTAAAGGGTGCAATCCAAACTCACGAAGGGGCATAGTTGCCCACACTTAATTTATATTAGGAATGTTTCAAGCCAGAAAAACACTACTCACATAATTGGGAGACTGGGTGTAATCCTGAGGAGTGCAGAATACCAAAAATATTCAGAGGAAGCACAAGCAACTAAAGGAGTCCACTGTAACAGAGATTCCTATGGAACAGAGTGACCACCAGAGGGAGATGTACATTCAGTCTCGAACAAGTGGGGAGGGCAAAGCTTGTATTACATAAACTTATTAAGTGTAGGAAAAAAAGCTTTAACAAGCTCACACTGAGTTTTTCCAGTGTCCTCAATGAAGTCCAAAAATAGTATTAACAAGCTGCAATGATCAAAGATCTGGAAACCAAGCCTTATGAGGAACACCTGAGCTGACATGATGACTACTATCCATAAATATCAGAAGGGACGTCACGTAGAAAATGGAGCTCATTTGTTTGGGGAACTTGAATCAATGGATACAAATTACAAGATAAGACATTCCACTTAAACATGAGAAATAGATTATCTTAGTGGGTGGTAGACCTTTAAACACGTTGAATGGGCATCTTTCATAAGTGCTTTAGTTGTATATTCCTGCATGGCATAAAGTTATTTATTTATTTATTTACTATATTTCTATCCTGCTCTATCTCATAGAATCATAGAATCAAAGAGTTGGAAGAGACCTCATGGGCCATCCAGTTCAACCCCCTGCCAAGAAGCAGGAATATTGCATTCAAATCACCCCTGACAGATGGCCATCCAGCCTCTGCTTAAAAGCTTCCAAAGAAGGAGCCTCCACCACACTCCGGGGCAGAGAGTTCCACTGCTGAACGGCTCTCACAGTCAGGAAGTTCTTCCTCATGTTCAGATGGAATCTCCTCTCTTGTAGTTTGAAGCCATTGTTCCGCGTCCTAGTCTCCAAGGAAGCAGAAAACAAGCTTGCTCCCTCCTCCCTGTGGCCTCCTCTCACATATTTATACATGGCTATCATATCTCTCTCAGCCTTCTCTTCTTCAGGCCCAG